AAGAAAAAAAACCCAAAGAACGAGCAGAGAGAAAAAAATTGTTATTCAGAAGCAATACTTCCTCTCATCACGTTAATGTTAAATATCTTGATGAACGTAATTTTTTTTTTTTGTCTATTCAATATGATGTAAGTGATTGAAAAAAGTCTATCATTATGCACTCATACATTTATATTATCTCTTTTATAATTGACAACATTATGTAAAATAAGATAATATATATATATATATATATGCTCCATTGATTAATTATTCAAAATACACAAAATGCATTTTTGTTCATTTCTTCGTTCGATTATTAATATGACAAGAATCACTACGAAAACAATAAATCGAACATTTTCAATTGTAACTAAACCATCAATAACTTCAGGTAAATAATTAATTTCAAATAAATTCTTTTATAGGATTTGTATGTGGTATGAAAATAAAATTTTGAAAATTCATTATAGAATCATCATTAGTTTATACTGATAGCATTCTGATATTATCATTAATATTACCATCACGTCAAGAAACATGTCGATTTCATCTTAATTTACAAACAGCAACAGTTGGTCAACTTATAAATGAAATCAAATCTGAAGATGCTGGTATTGAACATGTTCATATCTATGATGAAAATGGTTATTTATTAGCTCAATCATATTCAATAAATTCTCTAATGAATTCACCATTTACAATACGATTAAATCAACAACGTACATTTCTTTTTGATCCAATTAAAAAAATACATATTAAAGAAAATATTCTTAGACAAAGTATAACTGATAGTCCAACAACTGAAGATACAGTTGCGGCACTTTATCATGCATTAAATGTTATGAAAATTTATCATAATAAATATCTTGAAATAAAAAATGAAGCAAATGAATTAACAATACAACTTGAACCACTTGAAAAAGTATGAATATCTAGTTGAAAACAGAATATATCATTATTGTTCTTTCATATAATAAGAATTTATTATTATGCAATAAGATAAAAATAGAAATAATTATTTATACAATGCAACTATCTAATCTAGGAGATTTTTCTATAATTTTATATGGAATTTATTATTTGATTGAAATAGGAGAGTAAAATTATTATTTTTATTCAAATGAGATTCTTTATTTTATTATTAAAATAACAAGATAATAAAGAAATCTTATCTTATTTGTCTTTTTCTTTTATGCTAATAGGTTAAAAATAAATTAGCTAATATATGCCAACGTTATATATCACGTTGTATATGGTATGGTTTAGCTGGAATGTCATTTCAAGTTGGTATTTTAGCTGAACTTACATGGGATGTTTATTCATGGGATATTGTTGAACCTATTTCATATTTTATTGCTTTTGGTACTGCAATGTCATTTTATGCATTTTATTTAATGACTCGTTCTGATTTTGAATTTATGACAATGACTGATCGTTTATTTCTACGTAGATTTTATAATGAAGCTCGTCGTCATTCATTTGATATTTCTCTTTATAATCGATTAAAAAATCGTCTTTTTATTGTACATACTGATTTAGCACGTTTACGTGCTCCCTTATCGTTATCATTACCTGTTCCACCAAATCCTATAAAATGTAAAATTAGTGGTGAAGAATTGAATTCATTAAATGTTTATCGTACAAGACGAAATAAAGAATAATCAAATAATCTTAACCTGTGATAGAATCATAATAAATAAACAGAAAGAAAAAACCTTATTTATTCATATATACATATAAACAAAATGAGTGACCTTTTTTTTTTTTTTTGTTGCAATATTAATATGATTGCAATCATATTTTATTACTAGTTCGTGCAATCATAAATCGCATTAGTTTTGATTTTTGTTTGCAAGTTTTACAAAGAAATTAAAAAACAAGAAAGAAAGAAAAGAAAAGAAAAATTCATTCGTTATTTCATTATTTGTAATTAATAAATTCCAGGCCATACTTTCCATGGAACTAAATGACAATATTTTTTCCATGCTTGACCATATTTTAATGTACATTTTTGATCATCACGATGTGCACGATGCATTAATAAAACAAATAAAATAATAAAATAAAAATATGGTAAAATATATTCAAAACCACATGGACATGTCCAAAGAAAAGCTAATATTAATTCAGGTATATAATGAAAATGTCTTGATAAAGACCAATAACCAGATACAAGTAAAATACTTTCACATTCTGTACCATTTAATAAACGATATTTTGCATGAATTATTTGAGCTGGTTTACCCCATATGAAACATTTTCCATGTTTTGATCGAACATCTAATTTTTGTCGATCACAATCATAATTAACAAAAATTGAAAGAAGACCTAATAGAAGTATAATTGATGTTAATACAAATCCAAGTTGTTGTGGATGTTTAACCAAAAAATAAGATGGAAGTGTATAAATACCAGATACCCATACAATACAACCCCAACATAAATAAAATCCAGCACGATCAACAATTATATCAATAGTTTTCATGTAACCTATGTATATGAATTAAATGATTTTTTTTTTTAATTTGAACAAAAAAAAAAAAAAAAATAACAATTAAATTTACCTGATTCCCACCAAAAAAATTTTGTTAAATAAACAAGTGTTAAAATACATGTTACTAATGCACTATCTGTATAACCATAAAGTTCAAAGGTTTTCATACAAAAAATAATAGATAAAAGTGCCCATGTTAACATTCCATATCGACAATTTGTAATAAGTTTAATATCAATATTAAATATTCTCGGATAAAGTTCTACTCCACGATAAAAATCTGTTAACCAATTTGATGATGATCTATGATCATTTGTTGATGGCATATATTTACCTTTAATCATAACACAAAAACATAATAGAAAACCAAATGTATTAACAGTTGATAAAAATTCTTCCCAATGATCATATATATATGTTGGAGAAAGATTGTTTAATTTTAATATTATTGTTAATAAACCAAATATAATTAATGAAATAATATAATAATTGAAACCATTATTTCGATAGATTGGTACATGTCCTGTATCTGTTATTGGTCCATTATATTCATTACCAGGTAATAACATAGTCATAATAATAGCATAAGTTAAAAGACTTAAAATAATTATAACTGATGGCCAATGCCATTGAAAATAAAAAAAATCTTCTAAAACATCTTTTAATGTCATTGTTTGATCAAATAAGAGACGTTGAAAATATTTTATTATTGATCCATCACAATGATTACATATAAAAACAATTGATCGAACAAAAAATGGACATGCAAAACATAATAGTAATGGTAATATTGATTCTGATAAAACTTTATTATGACCTTGTCGCGTATGAATTGATAATTGATGTGTTATGTCATTATTTAATAATGATTCTTTATCATTTTTTTTTGATAAAGATTTATTTCGAAGTTTTTCATCATTGTAATTCGACATGATTGATTTTAACTGAATAAATGAAAAAGAAAAACAAAATGCTTGAAATATTTAATTGTCCTTCAATCACCTTTGAAATATTAACTCTAACATTTCATAGATATGATATTTTAAACATATTTTACATGTTTGAAGTACAAAAAAGTAAATAATGATAATCAGATGAATAGAACTCGATTTTTACCTTTTGACTTTCGCGTGCTCAGCAATATATAGAATATAATGTGCCTTTGTTGTTCAATAAATAGAAACCAAACTAACTTCTAACAATGACAAGCATCTAATTATATATAGAATTAGATTCATTTTATAGCTTTGTAATGATTGGCCGAAGAGAAGAAAAGATAAGCACTTCTTTTTTTACCTAACGATAACCATTGTTATTTAAAAGAAATAATAAAGAAAAAAAAAGATACAAATGTCAAGAGCCTACATAACGATGACGATGATGATCGTCTTGTTTGGGCATCTTTTAACGAAAAAAATTCTCTATGATGTGTATAATATTATTAAATATTTTGTTTATAGAAATATGTTCGTAATCTGTCGTCTTATTTATGTTATATAATTATGGGTGAATGAGTAAAGATATGATAGAATAGTGTTTGAAAAAATCTGACAATGATGAAAGGCGATGTACTTGAGAGAAACAAAAAAAACGAAAACAGCAAAACGAAAGACGGAGATGATTTAATGTCAATCAATTATCTTGTCCTTCAAGTTATTATTGTTTATAAGTATATTCAAAGGTTATGAATAACTATTTTGATATGAATAAACTAGTTTGCATCTACTAACATCAAACAGAATGATTTATAAATAATCTAATATTATTCTCGAAAAGAATAATAGTATGAAATTCTGGATATTCATTCATTTTCTTTTTTTCTTTCAAAACTATCAATCATTCGAATATAACTATGATTAATCTACATACGTATTGGATTGATATTTCTTGTTTAGTATTGTTGGTTTATTCTTTTCGAAAAAAAATTGTGTGTAGTACTAGCAAAAAAAAAACACCAATTAGAATACGAAATGTCTGCTTGTCTTTTTCTATCTGCAACTGACACATCGACAAGACAAGGGTGGTACTCGTATTATTTTTCTCTGACATTCTCTTTTTCTTCGTTTTTCTATTATTTATTCCATCTGTCAGATTAATGTGCATCAGTCTTTCTTTTTCTTTTTGCTTCTTCTTTTTTAGTCAACGAATAGATGATTTAAAATCTTCTTGTTTCCTTTGTTTTTCAAATAAATACATTTCAGAGATCAAAGAGCAAAAAAAAGAAAAAGACAATAAAAAATGACAAAGCTTATTAACCCTCATATAGAAAAAAAGACATGTTCGGAAGATAAAAACATACATAGACATACAAATATAGAAATAAAAAGGAGCTCTTTATATTTGTTCACAAAATATGGAATGAAAGTATTATTGATATGAAAAAGAAAAGAAAAAAAAGGAGATTCGAGGAAGCGAATAAAAAATATTTCTAAACACATTATATTAAGAATTCACTGTAAATAAATAAAGAAAAAGAAAATAGCTATATACAAATAGTAATTATATATATATATATATTTCTTCTCTAACGACTATGAATAGAAGATGTACTAAATCCACTTGGCGTTCGATTATGTCCAGCACTAATTAAAGAATTATTGCTTTTTGCTTGACGTTCTTGTCGAGTTTTTTCTCTTACAATTAATTCAACTTGTTCATCATCTGATGAACGAGCAAGTGCATAAAATACATTACAATGATCAAGTATAAGAATTTCTATAATAATAATAATAATAAATAATTTATTGAGAAAACAAAAGAAAAAAAAACAAAACCTAATTCTTACTTCGATCAGGTAACTGTTGCTCAATACAATATTGATCATTAGTTGATGGATCAAAACCAAATTTATCAAGAATGCATTTTAATACACTATTTGTTCGTTCATTATTTCTTATCTACAGATAAATATGATAAAATAATTATTGTTTTAAACTTAATATACATTTCCGAAGAATAAAATTAATTTCCTGAAACATTCTTCTTTTTTTTTTGATGAAAAGAACATTGCAAAAAATAAAATGGTCAATATTTGATTTTGTACATTTAGTATTAGCTAATATTAAATAAAATCATTTTGTTTTGTACTCGAATTATTATCGATAACATCTCATATTTCATAATAACATTTTTATGTTTTGATGATACTTTTTTCATGTTTTTGTTACATTTGATTTATCTGTGTTTCATAATGATCTTTATCTATTAAATATTACTTTTGTCTTTCAGAAAAATAAAACAAATATTAAAATGTACAGATAATCTATTTATTATTCTCTAATAAATATCTTTCTTGAAAAACTACTTCAACAAAAAAAAAATATGATATATTTTCTTAACATATAATTTATATAAGTGTTGATTATTGAAATTAATTTTTTTTCTTCTAGTAAGCATAAACTGTCAAAGATGATTTTTATGAATTAACTTAAAAGAAAATTTTTATTAAAATACCGCTTGCTGTCTACTCAATGTAGATTCAGAGAATGTCACAGGATAGATTTTGTCATACTGTTCTGTAGGACGATCTTTTCATTACTATTTTTTTTTTTTCATAAAGATATTAAACTTGTTTATATATGAGATACAATGTCAAATATCATACATCCGAAATTTGTACAAAAATTATGTTAATAAAACCTCTTATGATATGCTTTCCAACAGACATAAAATGCAAAATAAAAACAAAAAAGATATTCAACATCTATAAGGCGAACAAAATGATAATCAAACAAACATAAAGATATGGAATTCAAAATGCACTCAGTACAAATAGAGGAACAACAAGAAAAGATTTTTTCTTGAATTTCTTATAAGTACGAATAAATAATGTTATCAGTTCGACTTAGTGATAAACATTTTAGTTCTTAAATAAATGTCAATCCAACAGTAAGCCTTTCATCGATGTAATAATCGTAGGTATGACATCTACTCTTCTGGCTATTCTTGATAATCATGAAAAATCTCATGACAAATTTAATTAAAAAATCAGAACTTCATAGAACTACAATCAATGAAATAATTTGCGTGTCTTACAGAACTCAAATATGACCTTTCAAGGTGTGCATTCTAAAAATTGATTGTCTTGTTCTTGCACGTGCAGGGTCAATGTAGGACAAAACAGGTTATTTGCAAGGTATGTATCCTGTTGCTTTCTCTAATTTATCTTGAAATGCAAAAATGCATTCTATTCATCTGTTTCTTTTTCTCATTGTTTGACTATAGTAAGAATAGTCATGTTCGCCCTCTCAGTGTACTTTCAGTATGACTCTAACGAATTTATGCAATATTTTAAAACAAAAACAAATGACCTGTGTATTTAATAATTTTTTATGCATTTATGATAAGAATAATAAATAGTATTGCAGATTATTACTTGCTGTAGGCTTATAATACATTCTATGATTTTCATCATTGAGTTCATGGTTCTTATACTGAATTAGTATCGTCTATCAGAATTCCAGAGGATATAGAGATGATCAATACAATGTCTCAATATGACCTTTAACAGAAACTTAGATAAGTGCTATACTTTGATTCAAGGTTTTATTCTTTTTATTAGATCTTGATGGTGTTAAACTTACTCGAACTTTTTTATATAAAAGATCATTTTTTCCAGCAAAATGTACTTTTGCAATGATTGCTTCATAGTCACAGGAACTTGATGTTGAATTTTCAGCATTAGTTTTTGGTGATGCTGTTGCTGACATATAACCTTGACTTGAACTACCATTTGATGACGTTAAAACACTTGATACTGATGATGATCGTGAATGAGATTTCTTTTAAATAATATAAAATTATTTAAGAATCGATAAAAAAAAAAAAAGAAAAATTTCTATTTCTTTAATTACTTTATTTATTCTTGATAGTTGCTGTTGAAAATACTGTTGACGTAGAGAATTATTTGATGTTGTACTCATTTTATCAAGTGATGTTGATGATGGTGATGATTGTATTGATTGAACTGATGTTGTCATCAATTCATTATTATTTGATATTACTGAGGATTCTAATGATCCTTCCGATGGAAATTGTTTATCTGCACTAAAATAAAAAAAAAAAAAAAAAAAACAATTCTATTCATTAATTTAAATTATAAATAATATACGATGTAAGTACTGGAGATCCAATATTTTGTAATAATTGTTGGACATATTGACAATTATCTGTTACTTCTTTTGGTTCAATTTGATAAGATAATTCCCAACTAAAATAAAATTATATAATGATAAGATTATGTGTTTTTTTTTTCAAAAATAGAATATCAAATTTAACCTTTCAGTATCATTATAAATGCGAACATTATCAAACCAAGCTTTAAAACGTGGTAACGGATGTAATGTTGTATATGCATTAGCAGCCGATTGAAATAATTTAATTTGTGCTAAAACTTCAAATTCTTTTCGATGTTTTTCAAAATTAATTAATTTTTTCGATGATGATGATGATGTATTATCATCTTCGATGATTATTGTATTTGGATAAGCAGAATCGATGTATGTCAAATCACTGAGATAGAAACCTAAATAAGGTATTGTACCAAGCATTGTCTAGACAATAAAAAATAAAAATAATAATTAATTATATTATATTATTCCATATTATAAAACATACTGGTTTTTGTTGATCACGCGTCATCTTATGACGAAATTTTCTTCCTAATGTTACATTAATTGCTGCAGTTACATCAGCATATTTTGTTGTACATTCCTAAATAAAATATTTTAAAATTAAATAAAGCTTATATATATACATATATATGCATTAATTATAAGATAATAGCAAAAATTACACAAAATTTCATGCATGTAAACATTCGTTTAATTTCTTAGTTTTTGTAAACAAACAAAATCAAGAATTTTAAAAAGCAATATAAATATATCAGCTTGCAAAGTATCAAATCAAAATGTAAAATCATTCAAACCTACAGTGTACTCTGGTAGCATGAGACGAACTTCATCTAATTGCTGCAAGAATATATTTTAGTATTCTAATATATATATGTATGATAAAATTTTATGATAACATAAAAATTTAAATCATATTTTAAAACTATTTTTAATCAATATTACCTTATCAAGAATAGCTCTTGCTTCTTTTCTATCTGCACAACTACCAAAAACTTTTTTTAATTCTTCTAATATTGATTGATAATCTTGTGTTACATAAGACCAAGCTGTATTTAAACGATATATACAACCAGATAAAAGACCATTTAAAAGAGCTGTTAATGATGAAAAATTTTTTATTTTTCGACATTGATGTGCAACATCAATCCATTTTTCAATAACATGTGAACGTTGTTCTTCATCTTGTTCTTTAAGTATTGTTGCTATAACACGAGCAACAACAGCATTAAAAAATTCAATTGTTTTATCAATTGTTGATAATGTACGATTTGAATTATTAGATGGTGTTCGACGAGAACAACCACTTGTTGATGGTGTTAAACATTCATATGGTAAAACACGTTTTAATAAATCCTAAAATTTGAAAAGAAAAGACAAAAAATCATAAATAATTTTTTTTTTGAAAATCATATATTTTATTTAACATACAGCATCAACAATAGTTAATTGTTCAGCAATTATTGTACTTGATATTTCAAGTATATTCCATGGTTGTATATAATCAAAACCTTTTTCATTATATAAAACATTAGTTTTTGATTTATTATTATCATTATTCAATTGATTAGTTTCTTCATCGATTTTAAAATCTTCTAATAATGTTTGACCTTGTTTTTGTAAATCTCTATCAGGTACATGTTTTATAAAATGATATAATGTTGAATAACGTGGTGGTTGACAAAAATCTTCTTTGCATGAATTTAAGAAACATGTTATTACTACACGAAGACTCCTAAAAAAAACAAGAAAATATAATTTATTGAAATATGATTATAAGAAAAATAAAAATCTATTTTTTTTTTTATTCTTCAAACAAAACCTTAAGCAAAAATAAGCATATAAGATAAATAAAGGGATATAGATAGATGGATAGATAGTTAGATAGATATACTCATACTCGGTTTGAATCTCACTGATAAAAAGAAGAAATAGAATGATCGAATAAAAGAAATGTTTATTTTATTTTATTTTTTTTTTAGTTTGAAAATATTTCTTACTTAAGAGTTTTTTGTCGAACATCTTCAGTCATATCAAGTGAAGCTGGAAGAACAGCTCGATAACGTATTATTATTGTATCAATTAATGTTCGAGTATTTGTAAATGTTCGATATGTTGAAAATAAAATATGCATATTTGTTGCATCTAATTCACCAGTATCATTTGTTAAACATTCAACAATTTTTTCAAGTGTACCAGCTTTTAATTGATATACTTTTATGGTGGAATAAAGTAATGCACCATGATCATCATTACATGTGTCACCGGTTGTTTCGTTCTACAGAATAATAATAAAAATAACTATTATTATTATTATTATTTGGTATTTTTCTAATATAAAACCTGTTCATTTGTATCATCAACAAGTGTATTTATTGTTGAAGATGAATTAAGACGTGATGAAGATTTATGTCGAACTTTTTTCAAATAAATTTTATATATAGCATCATCTTGTCGTTCTTCACCAATTAATTGAGGTTGTTGGGCATTCTATAAATAATAGAAATTGATTAATATCAAGATTTAAGTAGACATATGAATGATTTTGATTAGCAAAAAAAAAGAATTATACTTGTAGATCTATCTCATTAGTACGATTATCATATTCCCTAAATGATTTCTATTTGAAATTATGATATATAATAATCCGTGAATATTTAATAGAAATTTATTTACAAAAATTCTGCTCTAATTGAGAAATTTCATCAGATCGTTTTTCTTTTCCTACTAGTTTATGACTCTTAGTTTGCCGTAATCGATCAATGAACTTCAAAGTTGGCGAATGTAAAATATCAAATAGTGGTGTTAAATCAAATGGATATAATTCAATATCAGGTTGTGACAAATCGACATACATTAATTGAACTAGTATGATAATAAAATAGATTAAATGTAGAGCATAAGTAATATATACGTTTTAACTCGTTTATCGACGAAGAACAATAACAATCATTTCGTAATCATTATCTTTCATTTCTGGTTTTTTTTCTTGGTTTCTGTTTTAAAGGATAACAAAAAAAAAAAGTACAAATTCTTTTTCTTATCAGTAGAAAGTAAGCAATGTTCGTCCTTTTCATTATCGCAGAATATAACCTTCAAATAAGACTCAGGTGAGCATGTTAGCCCAGACATGTATAAGTTGAGAGACAGAAAAAGGATTATAGAATGAGTTCTTATACTCAAATAGACTGTATATTAATCAGAAAGAAAAACAAAATTCTATAGACATAGCTTTTTTTTTTCCTGATTAATTCAAATGTCAATGGAAATAATTATTTGGAAACAAAACAAAGCAAACATGCATAGTATATAGCATGATAGGCATTAAATATTTGTCTTATTTTCCAATAAAAAGAAAAATTAATATCCATTAATAGAGCTTATCTTACTTGTGTCTCCGAATCCGTTATTGCATCACTTTGAGAAAACTGTTTTCTACGAAGAGATGGTGATGATACTGACGAAAATAAGAAATGTTGCAGCATGATTCTTTTATTTTCTCTAATCTTTCTAAAAACAATAATGATTGCAAAACTTAAACGGCAATGACAGTTAAAAAAAGAACACGACAAAAAAAAAACTACAAGTATGTTTGAGGAATTTAAGTATGTTAGCCATTTGCGTACACATGAGTACAACACATGTTCTCATATATCTTTATTCAATCAAGGTCATTTTAGATTATACACGTAAATGTGAATGAACGTTTACATTGACTTACGAGATGAGTTGCTTCTAATTGTTTATAGATACTTTGTTGACTAAAACTTCTTAGTATTGTTTTATTGATAACTAAACCAGTTTTTGCTGCTATGACTATTCGACGAATAGGTCGACGGCAAAGGGACATTCGATAATAAATATAAATTATAAGAAGTAAGACAAAAAAAAAAGAATCGAAAATTTTCTTTTTTCGTGTTATCTCAAAATCGAGTCACGAAAAAAAGAAATAAATTTTCATTCCAAATCAACATTAATAATAATTGAACAATTTTGATCTAAAAAACCTAATATGATATGCCCTAGGAAAAAAACATCGAATATTGACAGGCATTCAATTTCGTCAATAATAACTGTATCGATGATTCATTAAGACTTAACGAACTATTTCGTATTGATATAATCAAGTAATTTATCAATGTTAAAATTGATAAATTATATTTTTTTTTTCTAAGATTAATTTATCAAACAATATTGATAATAAGAAACAAAAAAATTATTTAATTACTAGCTGTATATTAACGACATCTGACACAACTTAAGAACATATATCGAATATATATTTTTTATTTTATTAAAAGACAAATTACTTTGATAAATGCATGCTACTTTTAGAAGGTCAAAATGTACAATAAATAAATAATTACTAATCAATAGTAGGTGGAATAATATTGACTGAAAATGTTAGTATATCTAATAAGACAAATTATTGTACTTGATATGTAATGCATCAATAAATAAGATTAAAACTTGACGGCTAATAAAAGTTGTCAATCAATAAGTAATTTAAAAAAAGTAATCTTCATGATAGAAATTAGATGCTTATTTTAGATAATTATCAATATTAACTTATATCTAAAACGACATATTATATCTTTGATTTATTATAATGCAGATAATTGCATTATTAAGAAGTTTTCACGCTTATTTTCCTTTGACGTATTTCGTTCCGGATGGTTTCGTATTGTGTTTAATAAAGATTTTATTGTTCGCACTATATTGTTTGGTGAAGTATGAGTACGTCAAGTTACAGTTTTATTCATACTTACGAAAGAGAAACTTCCTTGGTAAATACACTTGGTTTAAACTACCCCAAAGGATACCTTTCTACCAGCATGTAACAGGTACTTTTGAGTTTTTTTATTACTTGATTCCAGAATGGTTCTAAGTGTTCGATCGACTAACTTATTGAACATCTTTTCATACAATGTTACACTAAAACCACTCTCTAGTGGACACTTTGCGTACTTTTCAAAAGTGTCCACTACAGCGAGGTTTATGGTTTTCTCATCATTTGAAGGGTGTTAGTGAATGAAATAATTAGGAACTTCTAATGTTACTTCTCTTTTCATCCTTTGTTTTTCCAAAAGTTAACAGTTGTTAGCATATAGTAAAATTTTTCTGTTGCGGACATCATCGGTACCTGCCTGAAGTATCCACCACAAAAATATATGACAATGTCCACTATAGGGAGATTCATTGCCAGCATAAAAGTAATAGCTGGGACTTTGAAATATGTCCACTATAACGAGATGTCAACTATGGACAATTTCAATGTATATAAAACTGAACATGTATCTAATCAGTACCCATGTACTGAGACAATTCGCAGCAGGATACTTTTTCGGATATCCTGCTGAAAATTATTCTAGTATCCGATGCCTTGAACTCATGAGGGAGGGTCCCAACTGTCCAACCGCCTTTGAGTTCGGACTCTGTGCATAAGGTAGACCCCAGTGAGGTATGAAAAACCCTAAAAGGATAACGGCCCTTAGGCCTTCTGTCCAGAGTTATAGGGAATTTACTGGAATTTTAGCCTATGGCATGGTATTTACCAACCAATCGAATGACGATATTTTGGGTTGAGATTTCGTCCATAGACAGGTCTAGTTGTGAGTAGAATGTCNTTATTTTTTTTATTTGTGTTTTAAATAAATATATTTGTTCTCATTGTAATGGGTAGGCCAGAAAAAATGAGGATCTTCGTATTTTCTCAATAGTTTCTCCAATTTTCATTGATTTGGACTGATATTTTTTTTTTCAAAAAATACAACGTTTGGTTCTCTAGAAAATCATATATAAATAAGTGCCATAGGCATAATAATGAAAATGTTTGTGTAGTAATACTACACACAAGAAACATTAACAACTTTCAAGCACGAAATACTGTTCTCTTGTATTTATTTAGTATATTCTGGAATCTTTGAAAAGAAAACTTATTGTATATAAAATAAGATTTGAATAAACATTACTTATCTCAAACTTAAATAAGTGTGTTGTTTTCATTTGAAAAAAGAAACGCTTATATAGTCTTCAATTCGTGCCATGAGGTTTATTCACGAAACTACTTGAACATGTTAATAAGATAGCACTTTTGAAGCTGTACAAAATGAATAGTTTAATTTGTCCATATAGGTCGGCATAAGAATACATAAAAATATAAGTGATCATTATTTCTTGCCTGAACATTGTTAATGTTCCATGTTCGTAGTATTACTACAACAAACTATTTATTGTTATCCTTATGGCATCTATTTATATATGATTTTCTAGAGAATTAAGCGTTGAATCTTTTGAAAAACAAAACAACAACTTCAGTTTGAAACTATGGAAACTGAAGGGAATATTGAGATTCTCATTTTTTACGGCTTCTCAATTATAATAAAAATCCATCAATAGTATTAACATATTAAATAAGAACTTAATTCATACAATATTGAATTGTATTTTAAATGCATTTTAAATATTGTTTGCATTTTATTCTCTGAACAGAAGAAAAAGAAAAGAACATAATGTACAGTTTTAACGATTTAATAGAAACAATCACATTTAAATACAAAAGCATTAATTGCTGTTCTAGTTAAATAATATAAAGCAACTAATTTCGATTCACCCATTGTATCTAGTGTTAATTGAGCATAAATTCTTGCATCATAATTACATGTTAATCTTCTCCAAACTTTTTCCATAAATGATAGCCGATCAAAACGAAATGAAAAAAGAATTTTTAATGATTTATTAACTGAATCTGGTAAATCTTTTGACTTTGCTGTTCGATCTGCTTCTGTTAAGAAACGAAATGGCGAAAATCTTCGTTGATTTTTAATTGTTTCATATAAATTCGTATTTTTTCTTGTCATAGAAATTAAATTAATTAATTTTCCCCAAGAAAGACCAAATGTTTTTTCAACCTTTGATGGAAGATATTTTAATTTTGATTTAACTAATGGTAAAGCATTATAAATTGTACTTGTATATGCCGACCACATGTATGTTAAATAACATTTTTCTATAATACGATCATCAATATTGTTACTTCCTATGCACGATGATGATTGCTCAAGATGATAAAAAAATCGATTCCATTTTACCATTGCATCTGGAATTTGATCAAAACATTCCGATGAATTGGTACAAAAATTTTCTTGTCCAACTATTCGAAATGGTTCTCTTGTAATAAGACCAACATCCATAGCAACAAGAAATGGTATTACTGCTAAATAATAATTAGCTGATCCCCACCAACTATTCTTTGAAATCATCAGTGCACCATGTGTAAATAAACGATTAGATCTAAATTGCCAACCGAATTGTGATGGTAATGCAAAGAGAATATTTGATGCATTCGATGACGAACAAAATGGCATATATGGTGTTGTTATATTAATTAGAATTTTATATAAACCAAGTCTATGAATATAAGACCATGGATTGATTAATCGATATTGATAAGATGAACCATTTATTAATGGAAAATCGGCTAATGATGAAGGAGCAAGATGCCAATATGGAGGATAATAAATTTCGTTATCATTAACTTCATTAGCATTAATATTCATAATAGAAAACCAACAAATTATTGACAAGAATATCAGTACACGCATTAAGCAGCGTATCATAACTACGTGCAGTAATAACTTTTATAAGTACTTATATTTAAACGCTGTTTATTATATAGTGATCGACATGGAACGAAAAAAAAAAAAAAATAATGCGAATACTTGTGAGGTAGGCGCATATTTTATCCTTAACAAACAAGGTAATTTTGCGTCGTAAATATGAATGTGCAATGTTTAAGTCTGCACTAACGTTTATCGAGTTCATATAGTATAAAATAAGTGAATACGATGAAATAGACATTGTAATAGATAGAAATAATTATTTTTTACTAGAAAAATATTTTAATAAGACAATTAAATCCACCTTATAAATTTTGTAATGTTGATTTTAAAGTCTACTGAAAATTGAAAATAAATTTTCTTAGTTATTGGTTATTGTGACCTGTTCTATTTCGCTATGTGAAAGGTATCGTACTCAAATAAATGTATACTTTCAAATAATTTTTTTTTTTCTTTCTCTACAGTAGGCATTCTAACGTTCTCTATACAATCAAATAAATGAAAAGAAATACTTTGATTCGCTATATTATAATATGAATGTTTGTCTTACTCTACCTATTATAACAGATAAAAGATATTTTTTAATTTATAAACTTAAAAAACATTTCTTCATTTATCCTAGTGATCATTATTCGAATAATATAGCTTGATAATCTAAATTTGTAAATAGAAATATTCAATAAAGATAAACTATCAACAAAGAAATAAAACGATAATTTCTGTGACTAAAGTCTTGAAATAATATTTTTCTTTCTACAGTTATCATTTTTGAGTGACTATGGAATATTAGTAATCAAAGTAATGTTCTTTTGACTGAATCTATATCGAAAATATTTTCATTAGTTATCAAAAAGGTTGTCAATAAATCAAAAACATCATCTGTTCAAGCGTAAAAAATACTTTTGGGTCGTGAATAATTCGTATCATGTGATAGTTTTAGCTCAACCTTGTGATAGACCATTAAATTCTTTACAAATTCAAGTATCATTTTTATGATCTAACCAGAAATCTTCGAGTAGTTGAACAATATCCTATTTGTTTTTGAAGGTATATTTACAATTATAAAGATTATTTCTTTGTAATAAAACAAAGATGGCGGTAGCATATTTTATTTTCAAAAAAAAAAAAAAAAACATTTTTAAATAATGTTGTATTTGTTTCGTTCGATTTTTATTTCCGGATAACAGCTACATAACATTATCAACACTACCAACACATATTAAACTAACTAGTAAGACAATCGTAATAATCAATTAAGATAATAAAATTATCTTTAGTTAACTTAAGTTCATTTACCTTCGAATTAGTTCAATGAGTTCTTTATCAAGAGTATTTCTATAATTATGATTTGATTATTTTGTATATTGCATAAGCTTTATAATCTTTGAAGCTGTTTATTGTTTATACAAAGCATTATCACTATATTCACAGTAGGTACTAAAAATTGATCAGCACAGCAAACTGACATTATTTTATTTATATCTTTGAAAATATATAAGAGAAATATTTTTCATTTTTATTATGTTGTAGCTCATACATGAATTAGAGAAAACGTTGATTTTTTGTTTAGATAAGTTTTTTTTTTAAATTACAATAGTGAGTAATAAATACATCACTGTCGTTAAAAAGAAGTGCACAACTACAAAAAAAAAACAGCTAACAAGAAGTTTATATAATGAATATCAGAAGAAATTACAGCAAGAAAAGCTTTGTTTATTATATTTAACAAATTAAAAACATGATCAAAGCAATACCAATAATAGCTAAAGACAATCTATTTCTATTCACTGCTTTAATGATGCGAATATTGACAACGCCCATGAATAGAATTAGTTTATATTTTCTCTTGTGTTCTATTCAATGATAATTTCGACTGAATTAAAGATTCATCAATGGAAAAAGAAAGACCGATATCTGTATGATTAATATTGATTTTATTAATATTCTGTTGTCATCGATGATTATGATGACACTAATTTCAGAAGACTATTTATCAAACAACAAACAATTTTGAATGATTGTATGATTGATAAAAGTTCATTATGAATCAACATAGTATTCTCAACTTTTTAACCTTTTTTTCTTACTGTCAAAGGTAAGCCAATAACCAATTGAATAGCAACACGTATCGTCTCTTTATCACCTGGCTGTATATTAATGACAATATTGGTCTTATCAATTTCGCATCATAAAAATTTGTTTACGTGTCAGACGTAGTATTCATGACTAAGAGAATATTTTACAGTTGAAACGACAGTAGACTAGTACAATAAAATTTACCTTGTTTTGTAGAAATGAACTTTAAAATAGTCTATTAATACATCAATCAATTCGTGACTATTAGAGAGTACAAAGAAAAAGAACATGAATGATTTGCTTTCGTTTTGCTTTTACTTTTTCTTAAAATAAAATGTTGTTTTCAAAAATTTGCTGTATTGTTAAGTAACCAACTCAGATAGTTGATTGTCACACAACCTTATTCTACCGCTGATTACATTACTAAATAATTTTAAACAAGATGTTAAACGAAACAAAATTGATATGTGTTTTCTTTACTATAAATCTCTCTCGTCGTCATGCGACACAGTATGTCTGATGATGATTCAAACTGAAAATTATGTTTTAATTTATTTTGTTTAGTTGTTTTAGTATCAAATATATTCTCGAATTTTAATTCAAATAAAAAAGAATCAAGATTATTTACATTTTAAATGTAGAAAATAAAAAATTTAAGACTAAAAATATAATCTGTATTCTGATTGGTGGTTGAAAAAGCAATGATAGGAAGCAGGTAGAAAATGAATCATGACCTATTTTATTTGTTCAAACAAAGAGAAAGAACGAAACAAGCAAATAAATTCTCATTTACAAGATTTTATTTCTCTTTTTTTTTTTTTGTTTAATAAAAGTAATGAACGGTTATTATACGAATCATGATAATGCATTGAACGAAGTACGAAATATTATTAGTCAAAAAAATGGTGATGATTTAACAAAATTAATCAATAATGATGATGAAGTAACAAAACTTATAGGAAACCTTAGTGAAGTATGACATTAATTTTAAATTTGTATTTTTTTTTCTTCTTTATATTGAAATTTTCTCAGATTCAACAAATGGAAATCATTAAAGAAAGTTTAAAAGAAAATATTAAATGTTTAGCTTTACAAAATCTTGATAAAGAACCAATACTTATACATGAAAAAGAAAAACTTGCAGAATTATATGATGAACTTAGTAAAACAAAAGATGATTATAAATCAATTCAACAACAATATGGTAAAAAAACAACATTTAAATTACAATTAAATTAATTTACGTTTTTTTTTTTTTTTTTAATAGAAGAACAAATCGGTGAAACAAATCCAGAAATGATTTGGGTACTTTTACAAACAGCAGCATCTGAACTTGAACGATCTACTGAGGTATAGAATAACTTCAATAGTTGATCGTACAGATTTAGTTTTGACTTTTCTTGTAATGATAATAAACAAAAAGAAAATTTAAATAATGATATGAATAGAGAAATTTTTTTTTAAAGAAAGATTTGAGGAAAATGAAATTCTCACTATATTTTCAAGATCCAGGGTTTGTAGAAAATCTAAGACCTAGTTTTTCAGTACTGAGAAATACACGCCTTCAAGGTTCATTTTGATTATATAGAGTGATAGAACAAGTAATCTTCTAGAAAATGTCATGTCTTCGAGCTATTGATAACTTTTTCTTTTTTGACTGAATTATACCAATTTTAAGAAAAGCATCAAAGTCATTTTCTTCTATAGGAAATGGCAACCAAACTATTTTTGTGCTTTTCTTCAAATTGATGTAGTTCAAACAAAAAAAATGTTGTCGATAGCTCGAAGGCATCTCATCGTCGAAAGCATTAGCTGCTCGATCATCCTGTGTTATCAAAATAAACTTGAAGATGTTAGTTTTTGAGCATTGAAAAGCTAGATTTTAAAATTTTCGAGAGATTTTAGCTTTCGAAAATATAATGAAGATTTCATTTTATTCAGACCTTTATTGGAAATAAAATTTGTATGATCAATTTTTGGCGCCACATCATATATATATATATTTTAAAACAGCTAGGAATGTAATTCGATATAGAATCGCAGCATATATAGCGAGCGTTTATCATGAGAAATTCCATATGATCAACTTTGTTCACTAGAATCTTCATCATTCATTGAATATTATGTTTAAAAAACATAGTTGATTGATTTACATATGAAATTTATACAAAAATCTTTTTTTTGAATAGTTCAGATATGAGTTATAGTGTAACCGAAAATTCGTATCGTCTTTTAAAAAAAAAAGAGTTCATTAAAATGACTTAACATTATTTCTGGGTTAATTCTATAAAACATATTGTTTCGATTAAAATTCTTTTTTTTTTTAGCAAACAGCTGAAGATTTTTTCATCGGTGAAAAAACTGAAGAAGAAGTAACAGAATTTGAACGACGTTTTATAGAAGATCGTAAACGAGCACATGAATTAAAAATTAAAGCAGACAAATTTCATGAATTAATGCAAGCATCTCAAGCAACATCATTTTTAAATTCGAATCAATATATTCATGGTAGTGGATATCGTTAGATGAATATTAATTAAATTCAGTCTTTATTTGAATTTCTCGACGATTTTTTTTTTTCTGTATTATTTTAATGAAAAAAGAAAAAAACAAAAATCAATGAATATTATATAAATAAATCTGAAAAATTATTTATATTGTACAACATATTTACATTTATTTGTTTTAGATTAAAATTGATCGAAGAAAAAAAAAAGAACTTTTTTTTTTTTATATGATTTAATTATTAAGAAAATTCTTGAATATATTTATATCTATTCATATTTATTATCAATACATGAAGAAATTATATATGAATAAGAAGTTTTTCTCACAAGGAAACATATCTAAATTAAATTAGTTTGTCCATACAGAAATATTGCGTTTTTTTTTAACGGTATTTTTTTAGTTAGTATTTTCACCCCCTTTAAGAACACTAAGAAAATTGAGTTTAGAATTAAATTTTTTTTTTTTTGCAGAGAGAGACCTTAACCAGAATAGATTATTGTGAACGTTTCAGATTTGATTGCTTCTATTCTGAAAATAAGAACATCAGGATGGATATGAGTGAAGTTAAAAACGTGCTTTTATCATTGTTGTGTTTTAGGATAGGAAAAACAATAGAATGATCTGAAAATTTCGCAATAAGCTATTCTGATGAAGGTCTGTCTTTTTGCAAAGTTTCCAATTGAAACTCACTTTTCTTGATGTTCTGAAAACGATCTACGATACTGTACTAAAAAATATCGTAAAAAACAATGCCTTGATAGTGATAAACTAATAGTCCTAACTCCAGAATGATTTGACACTTGGATATGTTCCTTCGTCAGAGAATAAAAAAATCTTTCTCTGATTTGAAGTTGATTTTCAAGTCGACTAGTTTTCTATTTTTATTTAATTATAATGAACGCATTGATGTAATGTTCTATGTTTGAAACACTAATAAAACTAATAATATTATCAGTACAATAATCAGTTACAAAAGACTTTTGCAAACAATAGAAAAGTCATTTCTTTGTAGTATTTATATTATTATCGTGCTTTTCTATTAATTCTGTTAATTGTATTGAGTATGAAAAATATTATTAGAATTGTTATTCTATGAAATTTTTTTTGCAAAAAAAATCTATACTTATAGATTATGATAAGTTGAAATAATTGCAATTTATTTGTAAAATCATTTTTCAATTATTCTTATCGATTAACTTCGAAATTGATTTTAAATCTAATGAATATTTCTATCTTTCAATAATATTGATGAAAAATATTTCATTATTAATATATTTTTATATGGATAAAAGAATTTGATATTAAAAACAAACTTTCCTCTTAATAATACAAATCGATTGTGATGAAACTTGATCATAAACATTAAACTATTTCATTAATTATATCTAATATTTAGATATTGTTTTATATATATTATTTTCAGTACTTTTTTGATAAAATGCCTGGTACCAAGCGGTAAGCGAATTCTTATTTATTTAATTCTTTCTATTCGTTTCGTTTTTCTTTTATTTAGCACAACAAAAACAGCATCTTATACGGAACACAATGATGACGATGGTAAATCTTTTAATGTTACTTGTATCTTTTAATTCTTCTTTTTATTTCATTAAGATTTTATGGCAACAGCTGATAATACCAAAAAAACTCGTAGTATGAAATCAAATGATCAACAAACAGAATTAAATTCTTCTACTCGACAATTACCACGAAAACGTAAAGAAAAGTTCGTTCGTTTCATTTCTATTGACTAAATCATTTTTTAAAAGAAAAATCATATTTTTATTAGATTATCAAAAGCTGAACAAGAAGAACTTGATTTAGCACTTAAACTTTCGACAGAAACAGTACAATCAAGTGAAACATCAATTGAAATTCCAATTACTAATGATGGTAAAGAAATTTTGAGTAGTACATCAACAATATCGAGTAATGGTATGGATAAATATTTTGAAAATAAAAAGACAAAATTCTATTGATGTTTATTTAAGAAAGTAAAACAACAACAGAAAAAGAATCTAATGAACAAGATGAAAATCCATTACCGAAAAGTAAACGAATGAAACGAGATGAAGAAGGTAAAATATAGATTTTTAATTGTAAATCTATTAAATGTAATTGTAGAAGAGAATGTTGATGAAAACGAATCGAATAGTGAAGAAGAAGAGGAAGAAGACGAAGAAGAACCAACACCACGAAAAAAAACGATTCGTAAAACAGAAGAAAAAAATAAAAACTCTGGTAGATCGATTCGTAACATAAAAACGAAAACCACATGCCATAAGTATTGTTTTCTTTCTCTCTTCAAGAAATATCAACAGTACCATCCAGTGATCTTAACTCATCTCGATTGATAACACGTGGCCAACAAAAATCTTCAAGTAAATAAATATAAATACATTACCTACAGAAATTATTCGACAAAGTTTTTTTTCTTTTACCACCATCAATTCTAATAGGTACCCAACTAGTAATTTATGTATTGAATTTTATTTCCAATAAAAACTTTCGAAAATAAAAAGATTTGCTAATTTTTTCATCTCCTGAAATCCGCAAATAGAATTCTGTTTCGATTATTTAGAATGATAGAACAAAACAATCTTTAGAAAATGAAATATCTTTTCGCTCTCTTCGACTTTTTTTTTTAAACCGAGATACATCAATTTTCGAACTATTATCGAAAAGTTGTCTGTCAAATTTTGAGTTCCTTTCACTTCGAAAAACTATCGAGAATTGCACTCATTTTCATGTTCGAAAATAACTTTGATCGAATAATTTTAGAAGTTTTTATATATTTTCTCATCGGTTTAGTTTCAACAACTGATCTTTCAATGAAAAAATCTAATGCACCATTAGGTTTTCCAACAAATAAAATAATTATTCCATCATTACAAACATCTCGTGTTGGTTTATCACGTAAAGTTTCTGTTATAAAACCTCTTCATCCTAATCTTAATCAACGTATTACTCATGAATAAGTTTATTTCTTTTACCGTATATGTTTTATTCTTTAATTTGTATATATATATATTAGCATTGTATAGATATGAAAACTAGTCATTATTTATAATTTTTTTTGTCTGTTGTGTTCTTAAACTGTGTTTTTTTTAAAAAGAAAAATTATCTCAGGAAAATTAGACAACTTTATTTTTTATTAGAAATTCTAGATTATACATTCCATAATGTTATTTATATAACTGTGATGTCAACAATAACTTCTTCGTCGTCATTCATGGCTAATGAATATAATAATGATAATACAATAACAGTTAAATTTTTAATACATTATCAACAACAAGCAACGGTTATTTATTTGCCACATAATTTAACATTAGAATCATTTTATATTCATTTATGTTCAATATGTCATTTAACATTAACTGATCCGCCAACATTTACTGTTAAATGGCTTGATGAAGCATTGGATGCAATAACAATGTCATCACAAAGAGAATTAAATACAGCTATACGTTTATATACAAAAAATGGTGATAAAGAATTGCATATACATGTTTTTCCAAATCGTCCTGAACAACCAGGACTTTTATGTCCAGGTGAAGATCCACTTATATATCGACGTGGTGCACGTCGTTGGAAAAAACTTTATTTAATTAATGGACATCGTTATCAAGCAAAACGATTTAGTACAACAGCTGCTTGTACGGTTTGTAATGATCGTTTATGGGGTTTAGGTAGACAAGGTTATAAATGTCTTGATTGTCGAGTATGTTTAAAAAAAAAAATAAAAATCTATATAAAACAATATATTTTATTTTTATTCAACAAAAAAAATAAACAGGTTCTTGTACATAAACGATGTGTAAAACAGTTACGTATTGTTTGTGGTACAACATCGGCAGGTTCATCACCACATCATCCAAAAATTATGGATTCAAATGGACGTCATACATCAGTAAGTAGTATAACAATCAATGGACAACAATTATTATCAAATAAAAAATTAAATGAAAATCAACAACAAAATGGAGCTACGGATAAAATTGGTCGACATAGACCAGCTGGTGCTAGTGTTATGAATGCTCGAGATCCGATGACGAAACAAAAAATGTCAAATATTTGTGAACCTGGACCATTAAAACGAGCACAAGGTATAGTTAATAATAACAATTTAATTTACTTGATTGAGTTAAAAACAATGATTATACACAATTTTCATATATTCAAGAAATGACTAGATCGATGATCATCTCTACGAAATGAAATAATATTTTATCTTATTTTTTTTTTCTCCAAAAACAAAATTGATTCGTAATTCTGATAAAAATTTAATACCTTTTGTCCAGTTACACAAATGATAAATTAAAGTACCCCCCCCCCCTCAATTATCAATCTTGAATCAGATACATTCTAATCCCATGAAGAGGCTATGATAAAAATTTTTAGTCCTATATCATAACGTTTTCAGGAGATATTCAACAAACAATGACCACACATAACGTATGATCGAAAAGTTTTTGGACAAAATATTTGTTCACTTTTGACCAACTAGAAAGTATTACGGACGAGTCAAAAGCTATATGTTAGAACCAGAATTTTGTGCTCTCTTCAAATATGGGCTCAGAAATTTTGTCCCAATTTTTGTTCGAGAATAGTGAAATAATCTTTGAGAAGTCCAAAAAATGAGTTTGGACGGAACTTGTTGGTTGAAATTCGTGATAAAGATGCTTTTTGATTTTGACCGTCTTGAAACCATTTCGGACGAGTCAAAACTATAGGTTACGACTAAAATTTTGTGCTCTCTCTGAATATGGGCTTAAAAATGTTGTATCTTTTTTCTTCAAACGCAGTGACGATCTTTTTGGAAAGACCTGAAAAATGATTACTCGTTTTTTAATGATGAAGTAACATGGTTTTCTCCACCCTATAAGCTCTTTTTCGAACATGCTAAAAATTGTTCAAACTCGGTCATTTTGTACAGCAAACAATTCTCTACAAAGTGTGATGTTGACCTAAGCTATAGCTTTTAGTTAACTGTAGTCACAACCATTTTGTCAAGATCTCTTTTTGAAGTGGAACAGTTTTGGTCAAAAAGTCGGTTTTTCAAAAAATAACTATTCCGGAAAAAGAAAAATTGAGGAGTCTTGTCAAAAGAAAAAGAAAAAGTGGAATGGTGCATTTTGTAGAGCAATTTTTGATCTACAAGATGATCTATAAATAAAGACCCCAACTTTTCGTTTCGAGTTGTAGTAGTAAAAATACAAACGTGTGTGGAAAAACTCTTCGTCCAAACTCATTTTTCGGACTTCTCAAAGATTATTTCACTATTCTCGAACAAAAATTGGAACAAAATTTCTGAGTCCATATTTGAAGAGAGCACAAAATTCTGGTTCTAACATATAGCTTTTGACTCGTCCGTAATACTTTCTAGTTGGTCAAAAGTGAACATATATTTTGTCCAAAAACTTTTCGATCATACGTTAGTTCATTTAACAAATCAAAAATCCTCTGTTAATCCTAATTCTGAGATTTAATTTTGTTTTTATCTGAAGGAGCATGCCAAATTACAGTGCCTAGCAAAGTTTTTTTTTTTTTTAGTTGTTACTTGTTAAGTGGAGAGAAAAGAAGACAAATTCAATCCCTCGAAAACCTCTTAGAAATGATCATCTATTTATAGAAGTATTTTTTTTAATATAATAATTACAATGCTTAATTATAAATACGGCTCTGTCAGACACAGCAATCTCATATGTTCTTTTAAACAATAGAAAAAGCAATTGACTACAATGAAACTTCTTCAAGAATTCAAGGATGCTCGATCAGAAAAGTATAAATGAAGGAAAAAGATTTTCTACGTTATCTAAAGCATATTTTTCAAGCAGAAGATGACGGGAATCATCAACAAGTTCGGCAAAAAAAAAAACGAGATCCCAGATGACAAAAAATCATGTCGTTTATGAAAGATCAAAATTTAGACTATCTTCCCATGTTCTTATCTCAACTTTGATTTTTCTAACGGCAATTGACTTTTTGAGAGGGACAAGGAAGCTTCATTTATTCATAGTTTTTTCTTGATATTGTAAATTCATATCAGTTAATTTTAATCTATAGTATTTCATTGTATCATAATAAATATTAAAATCATGTATATTTAGGTCTAACTGATCTTGGCCAGTCTCCTATTGAGGATCCAAGTGGTTCAAATAGCAATTATATAGATGTAAGTGGTGATATGCAAAGTTCTCCATCGAGTTCTCCATCAATATGTTTACAAGATTTTGAATTATTAAAAGTAATTGGACGTGGTTCATATGCTAAAGTTTTTCTAGCTGAATATCGACCACGACATTTACGTAATAATCCAAATCATCAACAACAACCACCACGTTTATATGCAATGAAAGTTATTAAAAAATCTATTGTTAATGATGATGAAGATATTGATTGGATTCAATGTGAAAAAAATGTTTTTGAAAAAGCAACAAATCATCCATTTCTTGTTGGTTTACATTCATGTTTTCAAACACAATCAAGATTATTTTTTGTTATTGAATTTGTAACTGGTGGTGATTTAATGTATCATATGCAACGACAAAGAAAACTTCCTGAATCAAGTGCTAGGTTAAATATAATAACAAGTAGAAGAAGAAATTAAGAAAAATATTTTTTTGTTTTGTATTTAGATTTTATGCAGCAGAAATAACCGTTGCTTTAAATTTTTTACATGAACATGGTGTTATTTATCGTGATTTAAAATTAGATAATGTTTTACTTGATACTGATGGTCATATTAAATTAACTGATTATGGAATGTGTAAAGAAGGTTTAGATTTTAAACGTGATGAACGAACAAGCACATTTTGTGGTACACCCAATTATTTAGCACCAGAAATGTTAAGAAATCATGATTATAATTTTAGTGTTGATTGGTGGGCATTAGGTAAGTTATAAAAACTTTATTTATAAGACAGATTTTGCAAAAAGTTAGGGAAATATTTGATAAAAGTTTCTCAATACTTTATGTTTAATTCTTTCTTAACCCATAGGGACCATTTTTTGAACTATGAAATGTTTAAAAACACATTTTTCTATCAATTTAAAGTTTATCTATTATATCAATAAACTAAATCTAATCGTTATCATAAAAATAATATTTGGAGTATTAGTGTGTCTATGATATTAAGTTGGGTGGATAGACCAACACTATGTTCAGTCACACCCACAGCGTACGTGGTCTTCATGTATTTGCATGAATCATGTTATTGTGCCTGTTCTGATGTAAATTTTAGAAATTTTTTCAAATAAATAAGAATAACAAATGCATTACGTATTTAATAAATTGGTCCTGGATAGACGAGTTTGGCTCAAACTTTTTCTGTGCATATTAGGAGTAATATCATTGATGTTATTGAGCGAATTGTTCTTCTGAATCGTCAGGTTTAACAAAGAGCAAGAAAGGATTAAGTCGGCTCTAAACATAAGCATATGATTTAATATTATTATTCGAAAATCTCTCATATCTCATTGAACAAACGAATTATTGCCATTCGATACCTATCAAACATAAAATATTCAACGACTAAAAATTTCTCGAGCATTTTCCGTTGTATTCATCCGTTAAGTTTTCTTTCATTACAAATAATATCAATAGAAAAAGCTTGAAAAACTAGCTATTGTAGATATAGTTTCATTAAAGAGGTTTTCTACTGCCATTCAATGCATTTATTTGATATGTTACAGAGTTCGAATATATATTTTTTTATTGAATTTATTCTACTCTTCAAAATGAACAAAAAAATACGACTTCTCCTCTTTTACACTAGTTTTTAAAACAGCTTCTTATTGATTCACTAACATTTTTCAGTGAAAAACACATCTATACTAGGCAGTTTTTCAAGCTCATTCCATTGATGCTATTTGCAATTGAAGAAAAGTTACTAGATGAATAGAACTCTTTGTGAAAGCTGTATTATATGATTTAATTTGATTTTCTATAGGTGTACTTATGTTTGAAATGATGGCTGGACGATCACCATTTGAAATAGTTGGTTCAGCTGAAAATCCAGATTTAAATACAGAAGATCGTCTATTTCAAGTTATACTTGAACAACCAATACGTATTCCACGTTCATTAACTGTTAAAGCCAAAAATGTTTTAGAAGGATTTCTTAACAAAGATCCACGATGTCGTTTAGGTTGTCGTTATGATCCAATGTTAGGTTGTCAAGCTGGTTTTCAAGATATATGTTTACATCCATTTTTTTATCCAGCTATTGATTGGCAACGTTTAGAATCAAGACAAATTGTTCCACCATATAAACCAATATTAACGGAAGATAAAGATCTTTCACATTTTGATCCACAATTTACGAATGAAGATGTTGTTTTAACACCAGAAGATGATGAAGTTTTAGCACGTATTCAACAATCAGAATTTGAAGGCTTTGAATATGTTAATCCTTTAATTATGACTGTAGAAGGCAATGTTTAATCTATATGTAGATTATTATTATTATTATTATGATTATTGTTATTATTATTATTATTATATATACAAATTCATATATGCGTAATTTATCACTCGCAATATTCTTCTTCTTTTTTTTCTTCTTATTTCTCTACCGTTGTTTTCATTCAAGACTTATCGTCTCTGTTTATGGAATATATACATATGAATATCGAATCACTTTGAATGTGTGTTATCGGTTTTTCTTTTTTTTTTTTTTCTTATATTCTTATTTCTTCTGTATTTAATGCATGTTATTTACAACAAAAACGAACATCAATAGAACAAAAAAAACAATCAGTTAATAACAATTTAAAATTTTTAGAAGCGGATGTTACATAAAATAAAAATTTTAAAAAATTTAAATTGATACAGTATATAATATACAGAGGGAGACAATATGAAAATATTAATTAAATTTTTTTAACAAGAATTTAATTTTCGCTGTTTTCTTGTTTTGATTAATTGTAAACTTATTGGTTGAATTCTATACCGTATGTTAGGAATTATCAATCGAAAAACTTCTTGTCGAAATTCTCTAAATGTAATTAAATATATGCAAAATGACAATATATGATATGTGTAGAGAATTGAATCAAATAAATGCAACAAAAAATAGCCAGCAGTAGAAGAAAAGAATGCAAAACATATTGTAGCTGGTGTGGTCATTATTAAAAAGAGAAATGTGGTGATAACTAATGTCACCGATATAGATCGATGTTGAATTCGAGAGTTTTGAATTATACTTGTTTGACGAAGACGAATCAAATGATAAATTACACCACTATTGAACAGAACCATAAAAGCAAATGGTACACAATTGTAAAGACCTAAATTCATAGAATCCCATAATGGATATATGTTATATAGACGAGCCTGCGGATTGACTGTACCATCTTTATCATAATAGCAAGCAAATAAAAAGAAGTGAAAATTAATAATAGTGAATACTATAATGATGGATATAATAATAATAAGAGCATTTCGTGATTGACTAAAGCATGTNTCACTTTTTTCTCTTTGCTTGTTTCTATGATGTAGTTGAGAAACTTAGATTTAATTCTTTTTTATATTCTTCATATCCACTATAGGATTATATCAATCTGTTGTATCGTAACGGTAAAAAACTCACGTATACAACATCAATCCATTTTAATACATTTGTTATATGTTACAATATTCTATTTACATATATGCTCAAATAATTTCACAGAAAAAAATAAGACATCAAATCATGAAAATTTGTTTTGATTGTGCAGAAAAAGAGCATAGAATATGTGAATAATCTTTTTCATATAATTTAGACGTTGTTTGCTGAATTTTTATTTTTAAAATTGATAAAATTACAGTCCTTTTTTTAAATATTGTCTATGGTTTTTTAATTGGGTTGAATCATTTTCTGGCGTCTGATTACGCTTTTTGGAAAATATTGGTTTTTGTATAGGATTCAGTTTTCTTTAAAATATAGGATTCTCTTCGAAAAATGACAAAAATATAGATATTAAAAAGAGAAATATTGTAACATAACCAGTATAATTGAAATGGATTGATGTTGTATACGTGAGTTTTTTACCGTTACGATACAACAGATTGATATAATCCTATAGTGGATATGAAGAATATAAAAAAGAATTAAATCTAAGTTTCTCAACTACATCATAGAAACAAGCAAAGAGAAAAAAGTGAAGTGTGAGAAACAAAGAAGCCCTTCCACAATGCTTGCAATAAGGATGAATACATTTTTCGATTGACCAAATCGTCTTCGATGAAAACATTCTCGTGATAAACATTGATCAAGCGGCACAAAGACACGAAGTCAAGTCGATGTTTGAACAGCCAATTAGTGGAGAAATAGCATGTGAATATCAAAAATGGTTATTGTACCTATGTCATGCATTATTGGTCGTCAGAGAATCAAAAAGTAAAGAGAACATTTTCTTTTTAACTGCTAAAACGTTTCGTGTACTTAGTCAACGTTCTTGATAGATTTTTTTTACATAAGTATTAGGTTTTAGAAAACAATGTCATCCAGCAATATCTCACAAAAAAAAAAGATTAAACCTTAATGTCTAATGACAGTGACAAAGTGTTTCTTATCTATATCAAATCTTTCGATTATTCAAATGTCGTTGGTACATTTAGATTACTATACTAGAATGAAAAGTGAAATATTACTTGATCCAACCTATTGATTAATCACTCGAAATATTTAATGTATGGCTATATGTTAGTTTAATCAATTGTTTTCTTTTCTAACAGAAATGCTAGATCGTAGAAAAATCGTTTTTTCTCTCTAAATATCTGTCATATTGTAATGTAAAAGTTACGATTTAATTGTGTGCTACAGCAGAATCACTACATCGAGAAAAACAAACCATTTCTGCTTTGTATTCAGTTCATTTCGTATTCGGATTAAAGAGAAAGATCGAAATACAAATGATCGTTTTTGTTGAATAGCTTGCAAAACGTAAATACCTCAATATCGTTGGTTTTAAAAATTTCAACAAATATGCTCTGTGTCAATATTGTATCCATGAAGTTGTATTTTATTTTGTGATTCAAAACAAGTTTACGTGGTTTTTCATTTTATTAAACATTAAAAGTAAGACATATTAAGCTATCACATGACTCTTAAAACGATCAGAAACTTTCAATTACAAGCATTGAAATAGATTTCGAAGGCGGCGTACAACATAAAAACACAAAAAGCGAGAATATATGAGAGCTTTAAGCAATAAACTATATATGATACAGTTATACAATAAAGAAATGTTCGATTTCATCATAGAATGCATTCAAAATGACGCCATGTTTTCAAGTATTGGCCATAATTTTTGCTGTATTCAATGTTTGTACTACGGTACCCGTTCGTGTTTGCGATGCAACTGTTCGGTTGTTTCTCCTACATGTAACCATATAAAAAAATTCTAGTCGAAATTCATCAAATATAATCATATACAATGGAAATGATAATATATGATAAGTATAAAGAAGACCATCCAACAAATACAAAACGGTAACATTCGATTCGGAAAAAAATGCAAAGCCTACAGTAGCTGGTATAGTCATAATTAGGAACAAAAATGTTGTTATGACCAATGTAAATGAAATGGAACGATGTTGAATGCGTGAATTTTGTATAGTACTTGTATGACGAAGATGAATTAAATGATAAATAACACCACTATTAAATGTAACCATGAATATAAATGGTACACAATTGTATACTCCTAAATTAACATAATCCCATAATGGATAGACAACATACAGCCAAGATGAAACACTAATCGTACCATCTGCTGTATAATAGCAAATAAAAAGAAAAAAATGAAAGTTGAGAAGCAGAAGAATGCTCATAATACACGCTATTATAATAAGAACATTCTTCGATTGACCAAACCATGTTCGATGAAGACGACTTAATGATAAATATCGATCCAAACAAACAAAGACACGAAGCCAAGCTGATGATTGCGCAGCAAAATAATTAAGGAAGGAAAAAAATCTGCATAGAGGTATTGTTAATTCTTGAAGAGCAAATCCATGGATGGTACCAAGATAATGATCAATATTCCATCCGTATAACATTAGGATATCAAATATAACCATTGCTCTCATATAATGAAGTGTTGGTCTTGTTCTTGTGTTTCTGAATGTTGATTGACATAGAATAATGAATGTTATAATATTGAGTAAAGTACCAACGATGACTAATGTTAATGAATAGTGTGCAGCAATTACAGCTGCTCTTGATGGTCCAGTTGATGTAATTGATGTTGTATTAACACTTGACATTATGTAGTAAATTATTATTCGTAAAAATTTTTTTTCTTATAGAAACGAATAGATCTACAAAAGAAAAGCCAACTAAGAAAAGTGTATATTCTTCTTCTGTTTCATCATATACTGCTCTATTAGAATTATTGTACATTGCCATAGACTTATTTCTGTTACCTACTATTTGTAGAATATATTTCGCATACACATAGAAGATAATAATGATGTAAATGTAACTTCGGAAGTACATAGTTTACAGTTAATTAATAATGTTCATTAGTTATGACTATATGATCAGTGCATAAAGCTAAAGAGCCAATGCACGTAATAGAGAACGGATTTTGCACAATTAGATGTGCCAAACTTTTGGTTGTGCTATCAGTCAGCTTTTATTCAGTAATATGTAAATCATTATATATCGGTTGAAAAACCTCACATAAGGCTAAAAATTGGAATCTATAGACAAATTAGCGTGCTTTATAAAGTAGGTTGAACTTCACGTAAATCTAAGATAGTGACTGAGCATCTCTCTATGATGATATTTCCCGACTCATGTAGTAAGACTGATACAAACAATCTATAGCCCTACAAAGTTTTCTGTTCATCAGTAGAAGTCAATGGAAAGAGAACTTGTAGAAATAAATAGTGAAAAGCGTAATGATGATAAAAGAAGATCATTATGTCATTGTTTCAGTGTCTAAGAAACAGATATGACAAAGCGAGGGTTTGATTCAACTGTTATATGGTGAGAAAACTGTAGAATAACTCATTCTAGTATAACGGTAGGTTTAATCCAATGCGGTTTCGTCCGCTCTAACTGTTTACCTTAGTAGTGGTATTGGTAAGAAAAAAACATACTGTTTGTAGCTGTCGTTAAACTACATTTCTTGAAAATTTCATGAATGGAACTGCCCATAGTTTTGTACAGGGTTTTGTCGTTCAAAGTGCTTCTGAAACCACTGTAAGACATATTGATGAGAATATCAATAGAAATTTAGAAAGATGCTAACGTTTTTTTAAATGTATCTTCTTCGTTTCGAAATGCACGTTATCGTTATTGAATCCGAACCTCTCTTTTTTCATATGAGATTGTGTGAAACTGCTGTAAAAATACATTGTACTATTAGTACTGAGATAATCAAGAGCAGAAATAGTTTTCTTCGACATCACACACTCATTTCGGCCTAGTCCCTTGAGAAGTTCTTCATTACAACGTTAAAAAATACGGAAGAATGAACAGACTCTCAATATTTCTATTAGACAAATTGAAAAATCGAAGATAAATTATGTCAAATCGATATTAAAAGACGCTCTTCGTTCAACTTATTTATTCGAAAGAAAAAAGGATGTCCTATATTGTAGTAAATTGTGTTTTTTAAGCGGCAGCAAACTCAATAAACTAAACCTGACAGTACACTCACATTTCTGACAGCGTGTATGTAGTATGCTTAACTTAACATTTCTTTTTATGTGACTGTCAGTCAAAGGTTTATCTTGCATGATAGATAACGTGAAAGATGTTAGGGATGACAGGCTAGTCGTGTGCAAGATGATCCTCATAAGCAAATTCTTCAATTTGTTTTGTTCGATGTTGAACTTTATTATGATTAATTTTATCATTTGAAATATTTGCTATGATTTTAAAGGGGGTGATTAGTTTTAAATCTTACAAATTACCATAATACAGGAATCTATTTATATGACGATTATGTATTTGCATTCATAGGCTATATCTTCTATGTCTAGATTATGTCTTACTCAACTATCAGATTAGTATTTGCATAGACTTGTCTCTGGGTTTATTGTGAGAATTCTCATAGAATAAACAAATCTTATATAAAATTTTATTCTTTGTTTTTTAACTCTGGTCGTGTCTAGATATGTTTGAATTCATATCTTCTTTGAAAAAGTTTTCATTTGTAAATACATTGTTGAAACGATACAATTTCTTAATATTTTTTAATATCTTCTTTTAGTTTATGATGTTCGATAATTTCAAGATATTTAATAGAACAGCACCTGTGATGGATTACTAAGAGAATGCTGTGTGTATATTACAAGCTATTTTATGCCTTCTCCGTTATTATGAAATTAATTTATTGACCAAATAAATGTATTAGTCTGAGCTTTTTCTAGATCTCTTTGCAGTATTTTTTTTCATTAGTATTCCATTGTCCGCTTTTTCAAGAAAGCATTAGATTACAATACGATAGCTTGGCAAATGAGTCGCTTTATAATTTTCTTTTAATAGAATATTGCATTTGTTTAATATTATAATCTAGAATAGTATTTGTATCTACGATAATAATTTTTCATTCATAAAATCAATGCTTCTAAAATGTCTATGCATAGAAAAAGAAACTCTGTATGCTGTCACTGAGAAATATCAGTTCGGTTTTAATACAATTTTCCCTCTTTCAACCAACTTCCATAAATTCTTCGACGCATTAGAAAATCCCGTGAATAAACGACACAAAAGACAGATTAGAAGACACTTCCTCGTTTAATAATTGAGTTTTTAGTTTTTCTATCATGTTTATACTTTTTACTTCTATGCATGTGTATTTCTAAGCTATATTTCAAAAATATTTTTCTGCTCCTTCTGATGTTCATGGTTATCTGTAATTGAATAATAAAAAATTTAATTAATGGACGTATGTATACGACATGTAAAAAAACAATGCCTGTTATGATAAAGTTCAGTTATTTTTCATTAAACATTCTTCTCTTTTCATGAATAATCAACTCAATGATTGTTTTTATAAGAGAATACAATGTCGATTGTGCAACGAGATATTCTCATATTCAACATCAAATGGAACTTCAAGTATTAGTTATAATGTAAAAAATTGTTTTGATAAATCAAATACATTAAATAATAACAAAAATATTTGTGACTATTTATCGAAGTCCAATGAATTTAATGTATCCATTGGGGTGTGGGTGTGGATATGTGTGGGTGGGTGTGGGTGGGTGGGTATGTGTGGGATGTGGGCGACAAAAAGGTTATATCCACACCCACGGCCATACCCACACACCCAAAATGAAGGCAATCATTAAATCCAGATATTGTTGATGATATTTTGATGATTAGAAATTTTTAAGATATATAATCTTGTTTTTTTTGCTTTATGATTGAAACAAATTGAATGAAATTGCATAATAAGCTGATAAAAAATTTTGAATCTTTGTTAAGCCCCTCGCCTGTGACGGTACAGCGTATCGTCACTATTTTCGCTTTTTTTTGTAATCTTCGCGCTAAGATTTGAATAACCTAGCATATATGTTTATTTTGGCCGCTAATCATTGTCATTGTCATTTTAAAAAGAGACAATTTATTCAACCTATTGATATTGCTTATCTGGCATCGAGCTTGACGCACATCAAGACATCTCAGGGTGGCAATATGCCCAAATCTTTGGTTTTCAGAGTATTGGTTTTTTCAAGTTTGAAACATACAGTTTTTTAAGCAACTCGACGAGATCTATCTGATTAACACGAAAAAGAAAAAAAGATATTCTACTGAAATTGTGGGCACCTTGCATAAATTGTAAATACCTTAAAATTCGAGTATCCCGATCTATGTACACCATCAACGGCTCATATTTTGAATGTTTTAGTTTGGCAGCGAGATATTTAATCAAGCCAAAATATGTCTAGTCTTATTAACTGACAATACAAACGCCTTCATTGACAGTTCATACCAAGTTGATCTACGATTCGATACATTCTTAATGCGAATTTATTTTTCATGATGGAGAGCTGTCTTTTGTAATAATAATTGTTGGTGGATTATAATTTCACTGAAGATTTCTGCCCCTATGAATCTTTCAAACGAAATAATGTCATTTTTCTATTAAATAAGATAAAGGTATTGCTAAAGTACTCTCCAGTGACAAAGAATCCTAGTGTAGTACTATTGAGTCGTTTTTCAGTTTATCTTCACTAAAAAAAAGTAGCACGGATGCGAGTATAGATGTCAGTTAAGCGAAGTTCAACAACCACAGCCACATCCTAAAAGTAAGAAGCAGTGTTCATATTTTTGTTGTATTATTAGCATACTAGCAGACATTCTCAACAACAATGTCTTTTGTTGTTGTGGCTATGACTATATCGATTTCATCTATTGCGTGTAAGAGAACCTTTCGTACCAATTGAGTTTTGAACAGCTTGTCCGTTATATATACCAATATTCTGCTGATTTTGTGTCTTAAATGGTTACTCTAATCTCAATCTTGTTTATTCCTTGAGAAAATCTGAAAGGATCTGTCAGGATTCTGGATCTCCAGCATCTTGTCAAGCTTCTGTCAGGCTCTAATCTGGATTCCGATACAACAATCAAGTCAGCTATTATAGTTAAATCAGAGGAGGATCTTAACAAAAATAAAACAGGATTGTATAGCTCTGGTTGCGACTATTGGCTAAAATAAGATGAACCCTCATTTACACTCATTCGCAGACCATCAGATCAAAACCATGAACATTTACTGTTTACACATTTCTTTCAGGATTTCACAGTTTCCTCAACGATTTCTGTTTTGAAAAGCAATGGTAAACCCTTCAGGATCCTAAAGTTCAATGGCTATACACTTTCTTCAGGATTTCGCAGTTTTCTTAACAATAGGGACTCGGTATAATGAAATACAGAGATTCTGAAAAAATTCTACAAACCTTGCTTATGACACTTCTCTAAATTCTTTATCAAATCAATATAAGATACGTTCGACAGGAACATTTGTTTTATTTTTATGGTAAGAAAACTTGAAAAATTATGAGATTTATGTGTTAATTTCGATTTCATCGGCGCTGTAGTCTTTCATTAAATAGTTATTTTCGGTATTTAGTATGCCTCCTAATTAAATTTGTTCTTAGTTTCATGTATTCATGAAAAACAAATAGAAATACATTTTTTCAGTCGAATCGAAATCAACTAAAAAGTTGTAGACTTTGATCAATTGAATAAGAAATTGTAAAATGGTATTGCATTTTTTACATTTTTTTAGATAACTTATGTTCAAATAAAACTCAAATAGAAGTGTAAATTGAAGTCAAAATTGAAGATATCGAACGTTAAAGTTACATAAGATAACATGGCACAATCCAGCCGAGTAAGCTGATCGGTTTGTATACTGAAGGTCTAGAGATCAATACTACGTGTTCATTTTTTTTTCTGTTGAAGATCCTGCTAAGAAATATTATAATAACTTCAACGAAACCTAGTAAAACCCTGAAAAGATCCTGTCAAGTAATCAGATAACATTCTTAAGTAAATCTAACACACTTCTATACAATTTAGACAGAAATTTCTTTTTTAATTAGGAATTACCAAAATTCTGTCAGGATCCTGAGCGCAAAACAATCAGAAATGTCTCAGAATCCTGATTGAGGGTGCGTGTGGATGTGAGCACGTTTTGGATGTTGATCTTCTCTTTACTCATCCAGACTCTGGTTTTGCCGCGCCATTTATCATGATCATGAGAAAAAGAAATGCCAAAAAAAAAAACCGTGAATTTCTTCAAGTATTTAGTTTATCTATTTTTCGAACAAGAAATAGGCAATTTCTAAAACATGCAGAAAACTATAACAATAGATTTTAGTGAGTACACATAATCATTATTTTGTACTAGATCGTAAGAAAATCTCTTTTCTGTCAAAATATTTATCGTATTGTAACGTGAAACCTAAGATTTAATTGTATGCTACAGTAGAATCACTATACCGAGAAAACAACAAAATATTTCTGCTATATATTGAGTTCATTTCTTGTTTGGAATAAAGAAGGATAAGAATACAAATGATTATTGTTTTTGAATAACTTGTAAATGGTTGATACCTCAATATAGTTGATTTCAAAACTTCAAGCAAATATACATGCAAATATGGTTTCTATGAATATTGTAACAATGAAGCTTTTTTTCGTGACTCAAAACAAGTCTTTAAATGTTGTCTAATATTATTAAACAACGAAAACCAACATATGTTGAGCTTCCACCCAATTCTTAAAACAATCGTAAACTTTCAGTTACAAGCTTTTCAATAGACATCAATGACAACAACGTATGACATCGAACCACAGAAAGCGACAATATATTAGGGCTTTCAGTAGCAAACGATATAAATACAGGTGTACGATAATGAATTGCTTGGTTTCACGATAAAAGACATTCAGAATAACATCATGTTTTCAAATATTGGTCATCGTTGTTGCTATAATGAGTATCTGTGGTATAGAATGATTTCGTATGTGCGGTGCAACTCTTCGATTGTTTCTCTTACATGCAGTTATTCCGAAAAATTCTTGTCGAAATTCATCAAATATAATCCTATACAATGAAAATGATAATACGTGTTAAGTATACTGAAGTCCATTCAAGAAATCAAAACAGTAACATTCGATTTGGAAAAAAATACAAAGCCTACAGTACTTCCTACAGTCGTAATTAGGAGCAGAAATGTTGTCATGATCAATGTAATTGAAATAGGTCGACAGTGTTGAATGATCGTGGTACGTTTAAGACAGATCAAATAATAAATAACACCACAATTGAATGTAACCATCAAAATAAATGGTACACAATTGTATGCTTCTAAATTAACATAATCACACAATGGATATATTTCGTATATCCAAGAATATAGATAAATTGTACCATCTGCTGTATAATAGCAAATAAAATGAAAAAAGTGAAAGTTGAGAAGCAGAAGAATGCTCATAATGCACGCTATTATGATAAGAACATTCTTCGATTGACCAAACCATGTTCGATGAAGACGACTTAATGATAAATATCGACGGAAGCAAACAAAGACAAGAAGCCCAGCTGATGATTGACCTGAAAAATAACTGAGAAAAGAAATAATTTTGCACGATATTAATGAACAGCCTAAAATACGAAATTGGTATACATTGGAGAGATACTGATCAAGATTTCATCCATATAAAGAATGTCAACGATAATCATTGCATGCATATAATGAAGTGTTGCTCTTGTTCTAGTATTTTTGAATGTTGATCGACAAAGAATAAAAAATGTTATAATGCTGAATAAAGTGCCAATAATGATCAATGTTAATGAATAGTAGGCGTAAATCAAAGCTGTTCTTGTTGGTCCGATTGTTGATGTTATGTTAGGACTCGATATTATATCATAGATTGTTAATTCTAAAAATTTGCTTTGTGAGTAGCTCTATAAAGAAAAGTTGAGTAAGAAACGATTCAGAATGTTTTTCTGCTTGATCGCATAGAGTTCTATTAGAGTGATTGGTTTTTCTACGGAATACTTCTTATTTACCGCGGGAGCTTTTTTTAGCAATCATATGTAAGAGGTTTCCTAAGAGAGAAAAAACAAAATTGTTTTGGTATGAGCTCAGTGTTGTGACATGACGTCATTGTCAGAACTATATGTTCTTCAAATGATAAAAATATTTTGAGAAAATGGAAAGTTTTATTTGACCGACTGTGAGTCACGTGAATTTTAAGAATTATCTGTTATCATATATAGCTACATGCTCTCTTTTTCAATAGTGAGGCTAGACGTCTAAGGACCTTCTAATTTATATATATATATATATATTATGAATCTGGTAGACTTGCCATCGAAAAAAAAAGGATATATACCTAAATATATTATTAAATAACTCTAAAGACTCACTAATGCAATATGTTGATTAAAACAATACAAAGCGACTTTTCTGCTAAGCCATGAAATTATAATCAAATGCTTTTTTTTAGAAAATACACAATAAGATATTGAAGAAAATTGCTAAAGTAAAAATAGATTCAGAAAAAAGCTCAGAATAAAGGAAACTTTATGTCAATAAAACTGATCTAATAATATCAGAGAAGAGAGAATTCGATCTGAAAATACACACAGCATACAGATTATAATTGACCACAGGTGAAGCTCTATTAAATATCTTGATATTATTGAACATTACGAAGTCAAAAAATATATACAAAACATATAAAAATAGGTTCTAAACTGCTATGTGTATACAAATGATGATTACTTCAAAAGAGAAAGTACATGTGTAAACATATCACTACACTAACATTTTTAATAAACTTGAGATAAAATCTTATGCAAGATCATCTTGTTCGATGACTATCCTAACAATGAACTAAGATAGCAGTTCATGCTAATAATAATATAATAGTTTTCTGAAATAAAATCTAAATATAGAACCTATAGACTATGAATACAAAATACGCTCATTAAGAAATAGATTCCTGTTTCGTGATAATTTGTGGGATTTAAAGAAGGATTACCTCCCCGCAATCGTGGCAGATGCTACAAATGACAAAATTAATCATTATCAGCGTCAACATCAAGCAATACAAATTCAAGAATTTTTGTTGTATATAATCTTGTTGATGAATAATCTATTATTCCTAGCATCTTGCGTGTCATTTTTCATTCAAGATAAACCTTTGACTGGTAGTCACATAAAAAGAAATCTTGGGTGGCCACACTCCATGTACATTTTCCGAAACGTCAACGACCTGTCGGGTTCAGCTTATATATAGCTTGCTGTCTCTTGGAAAATACAATTTACTAACATGTAGGACATCATTTTTTCTTTCGAACGAGTACCTTGAACGGAGTGTCTTTGACTATAGATTTGACGTAAAGTATCGTAGACTTTTAGATTTATTAAATGGAAATTTTTTTTTTTGAAAAATACAAAAGTTTTGGATAGCTGATTGAGCAGAACTCATTCTAGATTTCGTGCATTGGCTATTTACCTTTGTGTAATGTTTAGATAGTCATCACTTAAGAACTTTATTAATTAACTGTAAACTATGTGCTTCGAAGTTACATTTACATTATTATCTCCTATGTCTGTACGAAAGATATTCTATAAATAGTAAATGAAAGTTAATAAAACATATTAGATGTACTACAATGCAGTTTCACTAATAAAAATAGTCTGATGCGCGTTCCGTCACCAAAATAATCTCCAAACATCGATAGAAATTGTTTTATTTATGAAAAATTACATTTTTGGACGATTTCTTAAAAAAAAACATACTAACACTCAAAAACAGTTGAGCAGTCAGTCAAGGAAAATTGTCTCAGCTGATCGATGAAAAACTCCTCTGTCCGATCGGGTCAGGTCAGCCGTTTATCACTACTATTCACAACTCATGATTTCGCAAAAACATGCATAATTTTATTATTCGAAATTTAAGGATGATTTTCTCAAATCAGCATTATCATTTGAAGGACATACATAAATGACACTGACAATATATAACCATCCAAAAGTCAGATAAACACAATCTTAGTTTATTCTCTCAGACAATTTCTTATTGATGAAGATTGAAAAATAATTCTCACAGGAAGAAGTATTCTGAACAAAATGCAATCACTTGAACTGAGCTCTGCTTGATTAAACAGAAGAAGAGCATATACTTCTCTAAGTTAACTTTTCTTTGTAGATCTATTCGTTTCTATACGAAAACAAGTTTTTACGATAAATTATTTATCGCATAATGTCAAGTGTTAATACTACATCAATGACAACAATTGGACCATCAAGAGCAGCTGTGATTACTGCACACTATTCGTTAATTTTGGTCTTTATTGGCACTTCACTCAATATTATAACATTCATCATTCTTTGTCGATCAACATTCAGAAACACAAAAACAAAACCTATAATTCATTATATGAGAACAATGGCTATATTTGATATTCTTATGTTATATGGATGGAATCTCGATCATTATCTTGCTAACATCCATGGATTTACTTTTTCACGACAAGCTATACCTCTATGCAGATTTTTTTCGTTTCTTAATTATTTTGCTGCTCAGACATCAGCTTGGCTTCGTGTCTTTGTTTGTTTGGATCGATATTTATCATTAAGTCGTCTTCATCGAACATGGTTTAGTCAATCGAAGAATATTCTCATTATAATTACATGCATTATGGGCATTCTTTTACTTCTCAACTTTCATTTTTTTCTCTTTGTTTGCTATTCTAGAGCAGACGGTACAATTAGTGTTTCATCTTGGCTGTATGTTGTCTATCCATTATGGGATTATGTTAATTTAGGAGTATATAATTGTGCACCATTTATATTCATGGTTACATTCAATAGTGGTGCGATTTATCATTTAATTCATCTTCGTTATACAAGTACTATTCAAAATTCACGCATACAACATAAATCTATTTCAATTACACTGATCATAACAACATTTCTGTTCCTAATTATGACTATACCAGCTACTGTAGGTTATGCATTCTTTCCTACAGCAAATTCTACCATTTTGCATTTGTTAGATGGTCTTCTTTATACTTATCATGCATTGTCATTTCCATTGTATATGATTATATTTGATGAGTTTCAACAAGAAGTTTTTAGAATGATTACATGTAAGAGAAACAATTAAATCGTTGCATCGCAAATACGAATCGGTACTGTAGCTCAAACATTGAATACAGGAAAAATTATAATTAATTCTTGACAACAAGGCGTCATTCTGAATGCATTTTATCATGAAAACGAACATTTCTCTGTTGTGTAATTGTATCAAATATAGTTTACTCTTTGAAGCCCTCACATATTGTCGTTTTTGGTGTTTCTATGTTGTATGCTGTTTTCGAAAGTAACTGAAAGTTTGTAAATCTTTTAGAAGTCTTGTAAAAGCTTAATACGTATTGTTTTTAGTGTGTAACACAATGAAAAACACATATAAAGACTTCTTTTGAGTGACCAAAGAAAAACAACTTCATTGTGACAATATTAGCATGGAGTATATTTGCATATATGTATTGAAAGTTTTGAAATTAATTGTCATACAATTAGTATTCAAGGTTCACACATTTCACATAGATTCATTTTACTGACATTAATTATTACAAGAATTCTGCTTCTAATTATGACTATACCAGCTCCTATAGGTTTTTGCGTTCTTTTTCATCACACATATTACCGTTTGGCATTTTTTCAATGGATTTTTTCATGCGTATCATTTCCATTGTATATAATTATATTTGATGAATTTTGATAAGAATTTGTTACAACGATTAGATGCATGAAACTGATGAAAGAATCGTACTCTGAAGTCGTGTTCAACTATGTGCAGCAAATGCAACTTGATGGATTTCACATATTATGTGACAACAATAATTCAATCTATATTTGTATATTATAGTGCATGAATGTTTTACTGAATGATATGTGAAAAAAAGGATAAATACTGTATTGAATACTTGTGCTTTCGCTTGTAAGTAACTCTATACAAGATTATACGAATAAGTACTCGCTAGAGTACACAAATTGTTCGAATACTCGTCTGAATAATTTAAGAGTTCGTGCTAACAAGCTGCATTCGCTGGATGAGTATTTTCACTAAGGTAGGCTAGTTTTTTTTTCTCGCATTCTATAAACAAGCAGAGAAAGAGTCTCATTTGCTGTATTTTATTCCCCTGTCGCAGTTAAACTCGTCGATAACTTCACTAAATAAATCATTAAATGGCCTACAATTCTAAAAATTTATAAATTCTCATAATTTCTTTTTGAAGTCTTTTATTAGTTAAACACTAACCTTGTTTTATAATGGAATCTGCTAGAATGACCATCAGGCATCCTTTGAGGGCTGACTTGGCTTTAGGGAGAAAAGTTGAACTTTCGTTTACAAAATCAATTATAGTTCAAAATTATTGAACATCATAGCTTGTCATTCAGACTCAATTGAAAAGATGCGCGATGCTTATTTCGAAATAGCAGAAATAAAACGTACATTGAAGAACTATAACAAATAAACAGTCAATAACGTATGAGAGAGAAGTCGATGCAAAAAAAAACATAGAAATGTACTAAAGTATGAAATGTTTAGAAACAACCAATCATACAAAGATCTACATTAGAGTCTTTAGACATGTTTCGTGAGTCAATCCACCCTATAAATCTTCGACTTGTGTTGAAACATACAACACAAATTTTCTGATAAGTATTTCTGTTTGTTGTTTAAAGTATAAGAGATGAAAAGTGTGTAACAGTAAGTCTAGTTGGTTGATAAATCAGTGCAGGATAATCTTTTATCAATTTTGAAGCACTATAAGTTTTGTTGTGCTTCATGAATAAATTTTAAATGATAATCTACAAAGGACGGGGGCGCATAAGAGGCCAAATCGGCCCATTAAGAATTGTTCGGAATAACCCTATTGAATCATACATCATTTGAAAGAGCAAGTTAAAANGTCAAAACTGACGATATTTTTGCACTTTTGTCAACAAAATCAACATTCATAAAAAACAACAGGACTTTCATGAAAATTTAAGTGAAAACCGACGATTTTATCGCGATTTCATCTCACGATTAATCGGGCTAGTAAGTCGCCGTAAAAATCGGTGAAATTTGCGATTTTTAACGAGAAAATTGCGATTTTTTTATGATTTTTCACGGGAAATCGCGATTTCTGTGCCATTTTGACAAAAATCTCCGATTAATCACCCGATTTAATCGGCGATTTCTCTGAGAATCGCGATTAATCCTCCAAAGTGTGGCGATTTTGAGGACATGGGTTCTATCCTATTCTTAGATGGAGCTCATCGAATTGTGTTAGGGAAAAATTTCAATTTTCCTAAAACTTTCGCATGGGAGAAATTGGTGAAGACTATCATATACAACGATGATTCAAAACTGATCCTAAATGCTGGCCTGTACGAGTTCTTCTCTGCTTTGGGTGTGGGTGTGGGAGTGGAAGAAGATAGCACACCCACACCACCCACACCTACACCCACACCCTATCTGTACATGTTGTACTTATATTTTTATTCGTACATGTGATACCTATATTGTTATTGGGACATATGTGTACGTAGATCATTTATTCAACATCAAACTCAACTACAGTACAATCTTGTTCTGATGATAGTCTCGCAATGACCGAAAATTTAACCCAAAGACAAAAAAGAACATCTATTTTTTTCATTTTAATGTGTTGTCATATTACATTAAAATAAAAAATGATTTTCATTTAGAAAGAACAAAAGACAAATCAATGGTTGGTTTATCTAAGATTTATTCTTTTGTGTTGCTCGACTCATTGTTGTCAAATTTATATATATATACAAAAACTTCCACGTTATCTTATTATTTACTTGGTAACTGGCAACGGATTTTTCGTTGCCAGTTACCTGGTCACCTTCCAACGGAAAAATTGATGTGTTGGCCGTATTTGGTCGATTGGAAGTTATAGTTCATCTTTTTGAGAAGTTACCTGGAGAAAGTAACAGGTAACTTCTGTCGTTACCAGTTATCTGGTAATGTAACTGGTTAGTAACGGTAACTTTCCACCGCTAATAGTGACCATACATTAGTTATCATAGTAGTTGTGTATCCATACGTACATGTAATAACAACTGTATATAGCAACAGAGAAAAACAGGAAGTGATGAAAGTCTATTAGGAAAAGTACAGAAAGAAAGAAAAAGAAAACAACTAATGTGTATCGTTGTATTATGAATAGGCACAAAGAGACAGGGTGAAGGAGATAGTAATATGCATGATGAACGTCAACAAAGGTAGACGATACTGATACTACAATAAAGACGCATATGGCACTTTCAGACGTTTTATGAGAAGAAAAGAAAATAGACCAGTAGAAGATCTTATCAATGTTTGCATAAATAAACCGAGATTAATTTCGAAAATTTCCCTATGAAGAAAAATATCAAAAAGTTTTCTCAGATGTCACTAAATTTTCGAAAATTTCTCCCGACGGCTGTCGGCGCACACGAGTAGATTCGGCATGGCTGATTGATACCATTGTAGTTTCTCTTGTGTGGGAAGAAGAATATCCAGATCAATGATAATAGACAAGGCATGTATATCCTGTAGAAGAAAACTACGTGAAGAATCTCTAATATAGATAATATTCCAAGATGAAAAGAAATTTTGAATATTATGTAGGATTAATATGTGTAACACATATTGGAATAAAATCCATACTAAAAAACTCAATTTACTTTACTTGAGAGCTTCTTCCTTTAGTCAAATTTCAAAATCGTATACATATACGTATATGGACTCGGTTCCCAAAGTGTTAATATGAGAAAAAAATCATTCTTAATTTTCTGTATTTTATTTTGGTTTTAATTTTAGCTAAATCTATAAATTACCTTCTATAATTTCAAAACGTCATGTTAAAAAAAGATGAACATGTCAAACACTTTCTATCATTTATTACTGGTAAGAAGGCGTAAAATTAATACTTCATTCATTAACAAACTGATGAGGACAATTGTCTTGTTTCTCAGTAGGAACTAAATTTATGTTGGAGATTATCCGCTGTATGATTAAGATAAATTAAGGATCCTACTGTTTTCGATAATTCTGTTTCTACAATCATATAAAATACAAAACTAACAAGTTTTACTTATTTATAGAACTTTTAATCATATAATTAACATGGTTGATTGAACTATCTAATACACCAAACTTAATTGAAAACATAACTTTATAATATATATAGGGCCATACAAAGTTCAATGCCATACTATGTGATAATTATTATTGTTTGATTATAATCCTGTATAAGCATGTTTTCTGTCAATGCTCTTAAACTTCGTAATCTCAAGATGAAACTAATTCTTTTGATATTAGAAGTTCATCAAGATATCTAGCTGTTATATATTTCTCTTCTGCATCATGAAGGCTTATTGTATTTAGTTGTACACCGTATATAGACTTCATATAAAAGTGAAAAATAGAAAAAAAGAGCATAATAAGACTAATTTTATTTTTCATATGAGCCAAAAGAATAGTTCATAAAAGTGCATTTTTAATTGCATGAAAAAATGAGAGTATATTCATCAAAGAAAATAGAAAGTAATTGGTATAGGGTGTTTTTGTATTTCAGTGGCAGAAGAATATCGATGGACGATGTAAAGAACACGTTTCCGGCGGATCTTCACACAAGTATAGTCTTTTTTTTGCTTCCTAGTAATCAGAACAGGAAATACATTAATATTACTGAAGTCACGATTTTTAAGCCGTTCAAATAGAACATCATCAATCTTTCTTCAAAATTTTACTTCTTCTCATTGAATGAATTGTTTTTGAACGAAAATTTGTTTTTTTTTTCAAGAGAATAAAATAGAATTGTCTATAATTCAGACTTTTACTTCTTTTCAATATTCGAAATATTGATTGAAATAAACAATTAAGTCAAATATATCTTTGGATCATGAAGAAATACATTTTTTTTTGTAAAGAGTATGGTACACATAGATGTGTTTGTTACTAATGAATAGTATTCAATTGTATGAATAAAGATATAGTAGAACTAATAACATAGAACTTCAAACAATTTCAATATGAACTGGAATGTTTTGATCGATGAATAATCTTGTTCTAATTACTTGTTTGCTGTTTGGATAATAATTTCATGAACTGATTGAAACTGGTTTTTAACGAACTGAAAAACTAGATGGAAACTTTGAATCGAAGCACAATACAATAAAGAAATTTTGATTTTTCTTTTGCTCTTATGCAATTTTTTAATCTCATCCATTAGATTTCGATAGTAATTTGTGAGAGAACAGTTTTCTCTTGTTCAATTCGTTCAAGGTTTAAGAAAATGTTCATAGGTATGATTGTTTTATATTTCACAACAATTAAGTCATCGTTTTTCAATGAATTCTAATTCCAATTAGAATTCATAGTGAGAAATTTGAAATTATTAGGTTAAATTATTTGACATAGATAGTCATGTTCATCAACTTGACAATAAATTAATCTTTGCTATTAAAAACAATGTTATTATTACATATGTATTCATCAAATATTTTTACTCTAGATGATTTCAATGTAAAAAACAATGATTTTCGATATTTAACAATCGACATAAAAAGTGATCGACGTTTGGCTTAGCATAAGGAATATCACTCAGGGTACACAATTCCAGTATGGAAATACGAATTCATTCATCTATCACAATTGACTTAATTAGTTTAAATTAATAAGTTTTTATTGGCAGTAAATTTTTCTCGTGCACTAGTAACGATCATTATTCAATTTTGTTTGAATATACAAAAATCACCTTGAATAATACATATGAGAAATAAAGTCAAATAAATATACTGGCAAGTTTCATAAGCTTCAATAAATGTGTTACGTAAACTTCTCAAAGAACTTTATAGTTTCTGTGACCAAACAAGTTCATTCTCGATTTATATCCGTCAATTCATATTCTTATGAGTTATAAAAGTCTTATACAAAAGCCTCAATCTCAAAACGAAATAGGAACTTACTTGTATTCGTCTGAGATCTTGAATCAAGTCTTCACAATATGTAACTAAACAGCAAAAAGCTCGAAAATAACATTGTTTCTTATCTTAAGTAGTATCATCTATTCCATAAATGATCTAGTACGCAAACAAAATTATTAAACAACCAAATAGTATTAATTCTCTCAAAGATTACCAATGATAATGGAATATGTATTCACACGAAAACTTCATCAATAATCGTATGTTCACAATAAGATTTTTCATGTTGATTTTCTCGTTTTATTATATATCCCACAAATAATGCTAGTAAAAAAGTCACTGCTTTATAGCGTCATTTATTTATTATAAACAACCAACTAATAAAAAAATCTACACAAACTATGATATAAACTTTCTGTTCGAAGACTTAAAACAATTATTAAATCGATAGCAAATCAAAACTCGTCAAGCTTTGATAGAATATCTAATGACATATGAAACTGATTCTAATGAAATATTATTAAACCTTATTAAGTTTATATAATGAATTATTCTCCGCAAAAAGGTACATGAACTGAAATGCTCATACCTCTTATGCTCTGATGAATGTTTGTTGTCACTACCGTGATAACAAATTTTCACTAATTAACTACTAATTCTTGAGAAATTGAGGAAAAGCTATATTTATCTAGACCAAGCAAAAGGCTCATCAAGTACAACATGCTTTCTCCTCAATAACCGAGTCCAAGAAGGTATCAAACAAAAGTGACACACTTGCAAAAACTTCTGCAAAGAATTAAGCAATCAGTAATATACAACAGAGTGTCGAGTGTAGCATACATTGATTTTCTTTAAGTTTCTGATAAATAATAATATCAAAGTCTTTACTAAAATTTTCTCACTTTCAATATTCATCAACGTATAAAATATATATGTTGAATGAACAATTATTTGTTAGATAGGTCTTGTGATATCAATATTGATGAACATTTATCATCAAGCATAAATAGTAAATCAAAAATACTGCAAAGCAGTTGTTTCGCTAATACAGCTTATAGTGTTTCTGTTTATATCTTTCAAGCAGCAACTAATTATTCTAGAAGAGAAAATAGAATAAAAAAGACTTAAATCACTTTCTTAATTGCAGTTCATCGTGATATCGTGTAGTAAACTTATTGAAATGTGAATTCGTTATATATTATTCTTCTAGTCAACCAACGTAACTTAATATTGTACATAAATTTGTATCCAATAAACAACCAAGATAATTGATATACTTAAATTACATATTCAGTACAATTCTTAGCTTCAACGTTTATATTACACAACGAATAACAAAAATAAAATCTATTCAAATCATCATTCATGTCATTCTTTGAAATATAGATTTATTCATGGCATTTTTGTGGTCGCATATCAATGTACTTTTGAATGTCCATTTTATTTATGCAATTGTAACACGACAATCACTTCTTCAATCTTTCTACGCTTCATTCTAGATTCCACCGTAGTTTGCAAACATGCAAATAAAAATCTATACTTGCACCTCAAAGATATATCAATTCTTCATTTACTTATTGGCAAACTGCGAGCATATTTAATAATATTTCATCAGAACAGCAAACACTCTTTTCGAAAGGCTATTCGAATATTATTCTTTATGGTAAAACCTGATCATTGCAATAATACTCGCATTACGGTACCCTAGTCATCAGATATTATACTACACCACCTCCAATGGAAAATGCCACATCCACATTGATATTATACTTGAGCTGTTCATACCGTACCGTGAAGAGAAATGACATATGAAGAAGGTTTTTTGATTTTTAGTGACATAGCTACTTAATTAGATCCATACCCGTTAATTTCCGGAGTCTTTGATAAAGCTGATTATACAATGGAATGAATAGTTAATTTTCTTATCGTATAAGTATGCATTTCTAGAAGTAGCAGAATAATTATTAAACCTAATGAAAAAGCGACTATGACAGCGTAACACCTTTTTCTTTTAATCAGAGACCTATTGTGCCTTTGCTCTCAGTTGGCATTTTTATATGTGACCTTACGAATAGAAAATAAAAGTTGTGAAGCAAGTGTTGTAATCAGCCAATATTATATTATTTATATATATATATGAAATTGAGCCCAGACAGTAGATATATACTTCAACGTTCGCATCTTATTATCATATCTATAATACTGTCTGTACGAGAAGGTTTTAAAAGAATAATATTTTTATACGATGGCAACTAACAATAGCCTGTCTACAATGGCAGAGAGTACTGTATCGAATGAAGCTTTGATTGTGGCTCATTATTCTTTAACAATTACAGTTGTTGGTACTGCATTCAACTTTCTAACATTTTTTATTCTCTGTCGATCAACATTCAGAAATACACGAACAAGACCAACCCTTCATTATATGAGAACAATGGCTATATTTGATATTCTTATGTTATATGGATGGAATCTCGATCATTATCTTGGTACCATGCATGGATTTACTATTCAAGAATTAACAATACCTCTATGCAGATTTTTTGCCTTTCTTAATTATTTTGCTGCTCAATCATCAGCTTGGCTTCGTGTTTTCGTCTCTTTTGATCGGTATTTATCGTTGAGTCGTCTTCATCGAACATGGTTTGGTCAATCGAAAAATGTTCTTATCATTATTGGATGCATTCTTGGATGTTGTACTCTAATAAATGGTCTCCTTTTTATTTACGGTTGTTCTCAACGGGCAGATGGTAAAATTAGTCAAGCTTCTTGGGCATTTCAAATATATCCACTATGGGATTACGTCAATTTAGGAGTATACAATTGTGCACCATTTATATTCATGATTACATTTAATAGTGGTGTGATTTATCACTTAATTCGTCTTCGTTATACAAGTACTGTTCAAAATTCACGCATACAACATAAATCTATTTCAATTACATTGGTCATAACAACATTTCTGTTCCTAATTATGACTATACCAGCTACTGTAGGTTATGCATTCTTTCCCACTGCAAGTTCTACCATTTTGCATTTATTGGATGGATTTCTTTATACTTATCATGTATTATCATTTCCATTGTATATGATTACATTTGATGAATTTCGACAAGATTTTTTTGCAATGATTACATGTAGAATAAATAATCCAAGAGTTGGACCACAAACACAAACTCGTGCTGTACCACAAACATTGAATACAGGAAAAATTATGACCAATCCTTCAAAGTAAATGTTTCATTCTTATTACCGTTTATGATGAAATCAAGCATTTCTTTATTGTACAACTGTACTTCTACGTAGTTTGTTTATTGCAACAGTTGTATTTCGTCGCTTTCTACATTTCTATGTTGTACACTGCCGTCAAAATCTATTTCAATGCTTGTAATTGAAAGTTTGTGTTCTTATCAAGGCGCATATGAAAGCCTAATATCTGTTGTATTTAGTATTCAATAAAATTTAAAAAAAAAACACAAATTAAGACTGATTTCAAATCTCAAATAAAAACAGAAGTTCATTATGACAAAACCAGCACACAGCATGTTTGTTACATAGTCGTTTCAAGTGTTTAAATAATTTCTATCGAAGTGTTTACAATTTCCACAGTTTTTGGCAAAAATGATCATCTGTATAACGTCGTTCTTTTTAGCTGAATAAGAAATGAATTGAGTAAGAGACTTGGCACTGGTTGACTTATTTTCAATTGGACCTAACTGACTGGCTTAGCGTTGCGATCGGCTCATACCGATCAGTTTAAGTTCTCGCCTGAGCCGACAAAACAGTAATTTCTTCAAAGAAAGAATTCGACTAACAAAAAGCCGGCAATTTTAATGTATTTATTAACCAGCTAGTTCTTTTGAGAAGAAGTTTGTTTTATCACATTTCCACAAAAATATACAATGTATAACCTATGTAACTCTTGGAATTTCTAATAATTCTTACTTTGATTTTAGTTTGTCTCAATTCATATATCCTAATCCTAAAAATGAAGAGCAAAATCTTTCGAAAATTTTCAGCTAGTAATTCACAACACATTATATTTAACAAGCTATATACGATGTTTTTCTGATATCCTCTTTATGGAATTGAAGCATTCCTTTTTGCATAAGAAAAATTCAATATAACGAAGCAAGAAAAAAAACAATTGCATGAATTACACTAACCTGAACAAGCACGTTCGATTGTTGACTATCCTCATCTCAACACAGTTTCAGCTGCATTACAAGTCATATCGACTATATCGAACAATTTCTTTTCCATACAAATACGTATCTACTCATTGTCAACAAACTTCACATTCATTATGAAAATTTAGTAACCGTAACAGAGAGTTTTATCATTTATGTAACACATGTTAACTGTTGAAAATTGAAACATAGACTACTTTTAATTAACACATTCGAGGCGATTCTCCTATTGGTAGGCCACACTATATAGTGTGGGTAAAAGTATTATTCAAGGGAGTATCACTATCATTTCAAATAGCTATTACAACTAATTTTATGCCAGTTTAAAGCGCGCTAAATGGAGTTTCATTTGGTATAAAATTAGTTGTGTTAGCTATTTGAAATAATAGTGTTACTCCCTGGAATGATATTTTTACCAATCCTGTGTAGCGTGGCCCACCGGTGGGCCACATCGCCTCNAAGGGAGTATCACTATCATTTCAAATAGCTATTACAACTAATTTTATACCAGTTTAAAGCGCGCTAAATGGAGTTTCATTTGGTATAAAATTAGTTGTGTTAGCTATTTGAAATAATAGTGTTACTCCCTGGAATGATATTTTTACCAATCCTGTGTAGCGTGGCCCACCGGTGGGCCACATCGCCTCGAATGTGTTAATACATAAATACGATACATTCACGAAATTTTTGTCTCTACTTTTCATTATTATAAATAAATTTTTACTATAAATTAATGTTTCATGAATGAATCAATAAATGAAATGAAAAACATTGATACGATAAGAAGTCTACAATCATTTCCATATTAATATCGTTGATAGAGTTACTTTAGTAAATGCATTGAATCTTTAGATTTTGCAATTTTTCTTTCTCCAATAGTAATTCAATATTTTTTCATAACCATTACAATAGTCAACTAGATTATTGCAGTTTACCTTAAAATACTTTTCTTTGTATAATGTAACAAATATTCGAGATAACAAACATTTATTATTTCTTACGATGAGTCGGTAAACAATAAGTTAAACAACAAACAATAGCATATGCAACCGTTTTTATATTGTTTCAAAATGAGACTTGGATAAAGTACTCGAATGATGACAGTCTATGGACTTATTAAAAGGTCATAATGAGTTCACTGATTATATAAGAAGAGAAGGGAGAAAAGGTCGCGGTAAACAATAAACGGAAGCGAAGTAACGAAGGTATATGGGAAGTTTTTCTTCTTAGTCCTTCCTGTTTACATGTTTCTCTTTTGAAAATATATTTATAACATAGAAAATTGATTAACAATGATTTATTGGAAAAAAAAAAATAAATGTAATAGTATGAATAGAATCAAGTTTATGTCATAAAAACAATTTAATTAATCGGAAAAGAAATTTGAAACTAGAGTACATAATTAAAATCTTTGATTGAGTTTGAACATGTGACCGAACACAATCTGAATGTCTTGCAGTAATGACACACAAGAAAAAAGTCGATGAGTTTTTTCTTGGAAGTGAAAATGTATCAACATCAAATGTTCTGGCTATTTGAAAAGTTTGTGAAATAGCATATTGAATCATAATAGAATTCAGTAAATAGTTCAACAGAAGGAGATTTCTTCAAATTTCAAGGATAAAATAAATCCATATTTCAACAACATTTTTTCTAATGAGAAACTTTCGAAAAAGACCATTCTATTCGATGAGTTCCATATTTATATAATTTATCATCATTGGAATTTTTTCTATGGAAACATACAAAAGACGATGTTTATGAAATATCTACTTAAAGATCATATTGTAATCAAAATAAGAATTGATAACGAAAATAATGTGATTTTGCAGAAAATTCTATTCAATGCCTTCATTTTGAACAATGATCACAAATGAAATTATAGAAAGCTCATGGATATCAATTGCTTTCCTTAAAATTTATTCACATTCTTTTCCATTGCAAAACTTTGAATTCTTTCTTCATGATAAAACAATATTGGTTAATTTGCATAATTTTATTCATTAAAAAAGACTTGATCAATATACTATTATGTTTTAAATTCTCCCCCCTTTCCATCAGTTACATTTCTGATTAAATAAAAAGACGAGAAAAAGAAAAAGAATCACCGATATAAAAATTAAACGAAAAATAAAAAAAGAATTAACGTATCACACACACACAAAAGAAAATTCTATTACGAAACTCGAGTAGTATCACGAACATATGGTGAATCAATAGATGTAAATAAATTTGAGTAACCATTATCATTTGTTACTAATGATTGTTGTAAATGAACAAGCATAGTTGAATCTCTTATATGTAAAAGTATTTCTTGAAAATTTTTAATTGATATTGAATTAAAAGATTTTTGTAATAAATTTTTTCCAATTCTTATTATAAGTTGATCATCAATTGGTATTAATTGTTGAAATTCATTCCAATATACAATTGAATTTGAATTTTTATTACATATAAATTGTTCTATTAAACAATATGGCCACAATGAATGTTCATTATATGCATCAGCTATAACAAATGCATGCCAACAACGTTCAAAACTTGGTAATAAATCACGTATTTGTTTTGAATTTAAATTTAATATAATGAATCCTTGTTGTTTTTGCATAAATTCTAATTGTAATGATATAAGTCTTGCTTGTTTTAAACATTGTTCACTTTGACGACAACAATCAGCCAAATAAAATGTATCAGCTGCATCTGAATAATATTGAAGTAAACTTTGTAATGTTATTGACATTTCAGCTGTTGAATATGGTTGATTAAATTGAAGTGTTTTCAATAATTTTTCTCCAGCATCACGATACATTACGGCTAATTCATGATGCATATTTAAATTCATTGATATTGATGTAAATGTATGTTCATCATTTGGATGATGTCGTTTTATATAATCAAATAATGATGTATTTAAACGTTCATCATTCGTATTACTTATTGTTGATAATAATAAATCAAATTGATCAGATTGAAATAACATATCAAATATATATATCATTTCTGAATATTGTTCTAAACCCATTAATAAACGAATTAATAATTGATAACTCTTTAATTCATTTAGAAGAAAAGCTACATGACGAGCATGATCAAGTACTAAACATATTCCTTCCATATGACATGAATTAATAAAACATGTATGTGCATAGATTAATAATTCAACACGAATACGAAGTAATGATGATGAAGCATCTATTAATAAACAAAAATAAATAAATAGATTTTATTTAAAAAAAACAATTTTCTTAGTCGAGATATAGAACGGATAATACAAAAGTTTTTTATCAATTTTCTTTTTCAATATAGCATGACAATAATTTCTCTTGAAGATTCGATAGTTCTATTGCTAGAATTTTTACTACAAAACTGTGTCAAAAAATAGTTATTGAAGTCTGAAAAATTTTAAGAACATATTGAACTGGCAAAGTAACTTGCCATTTCACACAATATTAATGATGAAAAGTGCATTCGATCGATTTGTCATGCATTCGGCTTTCGAAACTTATTAAACATACTATGTGTAAGTATAACTAACGTGGTGTAGACTTTCTAGTGGTATTAAAATATTCGAATTACAAAACTATCGGTTGCATACGAAAAAGTTTTACATTAAAAATGTGATTTTCCTTTATCTTTTTACAATGTCCTATCGTAGCGCTACAAAATTCTATAAAAAGTGAAACATTAGCATGCATAGAACTTTTTTGCCTTTGGTAAATATTTTAAAGTATATATTTTTATAAAACTGTGTAGAAGAGACTTATCGCTCTCTAACAAAAACACTATCATGTCTCTACGATAAATAGTTGTCATGCTATATGGAAAACAAAACTTATGCAATATCCGTTAATCGAATGTTTGAAAATATATCTGACTGTATTGTAAGATTACTGAAGAATGAATCTATCAAAAGTAAATCGATGAAATTAGATAAATATATATATACAAACAATACTCGTAAGCAACTGAGCGAGAAATATGTGGCCGTATTAAAACTAAACAAAGTTACATTTTAATATTTCAATTCGAAATAATCATTAATTTGACAAAATTCAATTTTGTGTTAGTTCGTTTTCAAGTTTTAGGATTTATATAGACAAATACACACACTTATTGTCATAAGTAGCGATGGGTGATGGACATTTCGCACCAAGTCATTCCGAACCCCGGACATGTGTCCGGGTGTTCGGAAATTACTTTTTGCCGTAACAAATATTCGACGGGAGTTCGTAATCCTTTTTGAACAGGAGATCGTAATCGGAAACATAGGGAGATCGGAAAGACGTTACTGGGAATTCGAAATGAAATGATCATTACTATATGCGGAGTAATGTTTAAAAATCGGGACGAAAAAGACGGGATGTTCATGATCCAATTTACCAGGAGATCGTAACTGATTTATTCTGATATTCGCAACGGTCATAAAGACTTTTCTTTCTTGTTTTTTATAAAATCAAGAATGATTGATACAATAGGTTCGTAATTATATAAACAACATCTACCTTTCTCTGTCTCTACACGTAACGCTATAATAACTGTAGAAGATGTTTGCGACTTTTGTGCTTTAACCTATTCATAATGTTGATAATTGTTATCACTAATCTCTGTGGAAATGAAGTACTATATAATTAAAAGTCTCTACGTTCAAAAATTATTGACTAGACGAGTGAGGGTATGAGGACGTAGTTGAGGGTAACGTCTTCTATTTACTGATCCTCACCCACGCTCGCACTCCACATCCTCACCCTCACATCCTCATCTGTCGTTTGTGTACTATCTTAGAATAAAAACTAGTAAATTATTTAACATGTCTGAAAAAACAGCAAACATGAACACAGTTTCCAACATCCTGTTTTTATTGTTACGATCTTCCAATATTTTCATGCCAAACTCCGGTCAAATTTCACTTTTTTTTTCTCTAAAAATCAATATTCGTTGTTCGTTACGATCTTCTGAACAACTTTCATTACGAACATCCTGTTCTTTTTTAATTTTGATTGATTTTTGTCATTCCGAACTTCCGTCCACTTAATTCCGAACACCCTGTCCTTTTTTCATACGTCCGGAGAACGTAATGAACATATGCTACTGGAAATCGTAATGAAAAGTCGGTGCGAAATGTCCCTTTCTCGTAGCGATGACCTTTGGCAGTTTCCTCCACGGTTTATAACAGTTTCTTAAAAAATTCGTCTTAACTAACCTGGTACACCCAAAGTAAGAAATTGATCTTCATACATTTTTGATCTTTCAACAAGTTGTTTTCCAATAGCATCATAATTTTTTTCATATAAAAGTGACATAAATTGTTTATATGATTCAATATTATTTGGATCAAATGGCCAACAATGATAATCATCACTTGGATCATTTTTTTCACAACGTTTTAATGTTTTATCTGTTTCATCAACAATTAATTCAACAAGTTGTTGACTTGATATTTTTAAATATTTAGAAAATTTTTCAGCTAATTTTATTTTTGTTGGAAATGATGATGATGGATAAGAAAGTATACGTTTTAATATAATCCATTCATCATTATGTGTATTAGGTTTTAATAAATAACATGAATCAATACGAAATAGACGACTTATTTTAAATAATATATTTATTATTGGTATTAAATGATCATCATGTGATGTTCGTGATAAAAGACGCTCGATTAATTTTTGTTTTTGATCATCAATCGTATTTGATTGATCATTATTTGTTGATGTTATTGATATTTTTCTCAAAACATTTGTTAAATGTTTTTTATTAAATTGACCACTACCAGTTATTTCCGGAAGTTGATCAATACGTGTACGAATATCAGATGGTGATACAACATTTAAATAAAGACGATGTCCATAAGAAAAAACAGTTAAATTATATGATGTCATACGAAATTTAGTTGCTAATTGTAATGCAAGTTCAGGTGATGAACGTTGTAAAAATGCATTTTCAGTTATTGTTACACATAAACGAAGATCTTTATCGGATAAATGATGTAAATTTGTTCCACCAGAACTTGTTATTGATCCTGATGATCGACGACTTGATATTGCACCAAATGATGGTAAATGTGAAGATGAAGAAGCACGACTTGATGGACGACGATTTGATTGTGTATTTGAATTTTTGTCTTAAAACGAAAATTATTATCAAATAATAACTCTTCAAAATGATATTCTAATTTTTAAAATTTCCTTTTTATTTTATTTGTAAATGAATATTTCAAATTATAATAAGTTTTCGATTAAAATCTATCATCTTAATTCCTTTGAGACTAAAATTTGAAATTCACATATCTTTTAAAGTTTCATTATACTAATACAAATTACATAAAAGGAAAACTTTTCTAACAGATGATAGTTGTTTCTCAAGGATATCCGATCTCTCTTAATCATTTCTACAATTTGAACGAAAATTCTTTTTTTTTTTCTATTAATATTCTAGATTTGATTTGTATCGTGTTACTATTCGCTTGTCGTCTATGACAAATAAATCTGTTGTACACAACCATCATATATCTATAATAGATCTCAAGGTTCAATTATGTATGTCAATAAACTCAGAGACACAGATCATTTCCAAAAGTTCGACGTTAATTAATTCATGACTTCTGTCTTGGTCCTATTACGAATGTAGCAAATCAATCCTGCACTAGACAATATCCTTGATATCTAATACGTAATCCTTTATCTGTGCAACAATTAAAAACTGTGCTATTAGCACATTCAAATACGTATTTAAGCATTGTTATCGATGTCGATCAGCACATTTTTTTTTTAAATTGTTAATGAATTATGAACTTAGAATAAAATGAGAGTAAGGGTGAAATAATCTACATAATTATGTGATTAACTTCTATTCTATTGTGGCATCTTTTTTTTTTTTTTTATAATTATTTAAATATGAATCATACCTGTTGTAATTGTATCTGTTGTTGATGTAACTTTATTTGTTGCAAAAACATTTTTTAAAAGTGCTGCTTCAAATTCATTTTCAGCAATAACTATTGATTGTTTTTCTTCATCATTTAATTCATCTTCGACTTCAATTTCATCAAATATACGTAAATAATCATCAAAATCTTTTGGTATTAATTTTTCTGTTGCTAATTGATCAAGTAAACAATTTGAAAATAAACTAACCATATAATCAAGTATTTTATTAACAATTGGTCTATTTTGATATTCATATATAAAACTAATTAATGCTGTCCATAATTTATCATTAATTGTTTGTTGTTGAGGAATTTTTATTGATGAATAATCATATGGTTCAGGTAAATGTTGTGCTTGATTAGCAAATATATGAAGTAATACACGAATTAATTTTGATGATGTTGAACGTATTGATGAAAGAAAATCTCCATAAAGTAATGGTTTTTTTAAACGTTTAAGTACATCTTGATGTCCTTGACATATTGTTTCAAATGCTTCATTTAATTCTTTATCATCAGTATTTTCATCATGTTTATATTCATCAAATGAACATTTAAAACGTTCAAATAATGTTATATCAATTTCAATATCTACACAAATAATTATTTCATCAACTAAATCAAAACGATCAAGTTTTATTAATTGTTCAATTAATAACATTATTGAACGAAAACAACGATCTGTATACATAACAAGTGACCAATCAAATGGTATTGGTGATGGTTGTTCATCAAGTAAAGAAAATAATGGTTCAAAACGACGATAAAATTCATTTTTTTCACCAAGTAAATGAAATATTGAACGTATATCTGTATGTGATGATACTTGTCGAAATAAACATAATAATAATTCATTTGTTAATTGTGTAAACCAAGTTGATGTTTGTCCAAGACCAATAGTTGTTTGTGTTGATGTTAAAAATTTTAGTGTGGGCTGTTCATTCATATCAATACATGCATGACAAAAACGAACTAATGATTCTAATCGACTTTCAGGTGCAAATATATGTGTTGCAAGAATAAGAACTGTCCAATGACCAAATCCAGCTATATGACACAATAAACGACTAGCTAAATTAGCTGAATTTGATGTTACTGGAAATAGAAGTGGATATTTTGGATTTAATGATTGAAGAAANAGGCCTCTTCGTGGACAAAATTTCAGATCGAAATTCGTTGATTTGGTTTTGCAGGTGAACCAGTGCCCTAGGGCAAAAATCGAGTAAAACGGTTATAACTCAGCCCCACAGGTGCATGGGCCCAAATCCTCTTAGGGTTATTCTAGTGTCGGGGTCTCCTACTTATCCCCAAAGTATGAGCTCAAAAGCGGTGAATCACTTGGGGTAGTTCCCTCGTAAGTTCAATGTCAAGATCTATACACATTTAACTTCAAAATAACTAATAATTAAAATTTTTTAATATAACTTGCAAACGATTTGTAAATCATCTGATGTATTTAAGTTTTGTTTGGCTTAAAATTATACTACAGATCACAGATAAAAACTGACTATCTATCCACCTTATTTACTTTTCTGCTCTTATAACATAAACTAGTTCAAAACTTCTATTAATCTTCGTAATATCTCATCGAGGATGTATGATGAAATTTCAACGAAATTTAACTACATAAAATAACATTATATAGAAAGAGATATCAGTATCGACTATCATCTCTTTGTTTTACTTATTACTTAATATAACTATTGAATCAAGATTTTAGTACCTTGTTGAAATCTTAATTTAAGTTGTTCCGATGTTAATGTTTGATCAGTTAATAAAACGAAAAGATCTTGTTTCAGTAATGGTGTATGATTTTCTTTAACTAAACGTTTAAAACAACATTTTAAATGTTCAAATAACATATTTTGTTGTTGTACTTGTGATAAACATGATATAATATCATCAACACTATAATGAAATAATTGTGCAATAAATAACATTTCAAACCAACATGAACGATTTGTATAATATGTTAATAATGTTGGTATATGTTTTAATGAATATGTTTGAGAAAAAAGATTAAATAAAATTAATTGTTTTATTGAATTTAATGAATTAAAATCATTTATTGATAATAATAATTTTAATGATATTGATGTTAAATCTTCTGATTGAGTTGTTTTTAATATTTTCATTACGGATACATATAAACGTATATAAAATGTATCTTCATTACACATATCAAATAATATAATTGATGATAAATAATTTTTAAAATTTGTTTTACATGATGTTATTAAAAAATGTTTTAAACGATTTAAACGTCTATCAATAATTGTTGATAAATTTTGTTGTGATGATGATTGTTGATTTTGTTCTTGTGTATCAATTGATGATGCAAGAAAATGTGCAAATGATGTTAATGGACGATTTTGTCCAAATAAATAACGATAATCAATTGAATGTTGTTGTTGTTGTTGTTGTTGATCATTATTATTTGTATCATTTGATGATGAAAAACAATCATGTAAAATAGTTAAATCTTCATTAGCACGAAATATATTAGCTTCTTGCCATGCAAAACATCGTGATAAATCTAATTGACTAAAACGATCAAGTAAATGATAAATACTTATATCAAATGAATTTATTTTTGAATATTTTGATAATAATCTTAATGCTGGATATTTTATAATTAAATCATTATCATTATCATCATAACGATTTTTAATACCTTGACGAACAATATTAACTAATGGATCAATTGATAATGTATTATCAAATGAATTTTGTAATGCATAATCACATGGTTTTGAACGTAACCATTGACACCATTGTTCATCATTATCAAGATTTTCATTATCATCATTGATTGAAAAATAAATATATGCTGAATATATACGATGGAGTTTACTTTGTTTTAATATTAATGAATCATTTGTTTCATCTTGTAGGATACTATGCCAAAATAATGTATCAGATGAATTTGATGGAATCCAATGAACTAAACGTGCAAATGGCCATTGAACACATGGAATTAATTGAGACCATATTAGTTCCATATTATCGATTTTATCAATAGAATTTAATTGTTTTAGTAAAGTTAATGATTGACGAGAAGATGCATATGCGTAAGCAAATTGAAGTTTTGTACGTAAATCATCATCTAAATTGAGAAAGAAAAAGAAAAAAAAAGAAGTTTTTATTTGTTAAATATCAAAACTCTGAGAATTTAAATATCAATTTAATCATTTACTCCGATTCAATTTCATTTTGATGATTTCACAATTCAATCATTTTCCTGTATGTTCAGGATTAGTCATTGGTTGAACAGAATCAATATAAAAATTTCGCTTAAATCAAATGACATGTCAAAGAACATTGTTAAGATACACATATGAAATACGAAAAGAAAATAGCACGTAGTATACAATATACAACTACACATCGTAATGCACTGATACCTAATTATTAAGATTAAAAATTAGAAATTTAATAGGACAAAATTCGAAAAAGTGAAAACGAAATTCGTTAAGAAGTAAAAATGAAACAATTTAATTTTTTTCATTGTATAAATCACATGTCTGTGTATTATAAACGGTTGATAACTTTTGTATTTATCTTATTATTCTATATTAAATAATACAGTATAATCTTTGGGACAAATACATTTATCGACCCCCCCCCCCCGTTATGTATTTACCTAACTCGACCATATTAGTCTCTGAGGAGTTCATTAAAAGTATTCCCAAGGATTCCAAATCAATAGTTTAAGAGACAACGTGTATTTGCCCTGCTTGAGACAAGCCTCACAAAGCATCTCAATAGCTGAGGGTGAAGGCAAAATCTTGATACAGCCACCAAAGGGCATTTCCATAGCTGAGGGTGCCATGAAATATTGTTTTCTGGCACTCTCAGCTATGGAGATGCCCTTTAAATGTGGTTCACGATTTCGTGGCACCCTCAGCTATGGAGATTCTCTTTGGCGGCTGTATCAAGATTTTGCCTTCACCCTCAGCTATTGAGATGCTTTGTGAAGCTTGTCTCAAGCGGGACAAATACATGCTATCTCTTAAACTACTGATCTGGAGCCCTTGAGAATACTTTTAATGAACTCCTCAGAGGCTAATTAGTCGACTTAGGTCAATATATACGCAATGCATGAGGGGGGAGGGATTGATAAGTGTATTTGTCCCTAATCTTTCTATAATGAAAATTCTTCGGACTTTTCAAAAGTATTCACTATGGATGATTTTACTTGTAATTATGAATCGTTGTAATTAATAATATTAGAACCGCATTGCTAAAATCATCAAATGGAATTATCTCATTTAGTTTTTTATTTCATATTTAGACTTGAATGCTATATGTATTAAGCAATACCTTTCGATGAAAAAAGTGGTACTTCACCAATTAAATGTCGACCTTCTGTAGTTAATAACCATCGTTTTTCTTCTTCATTATCTTTATCCATAATTGAATATAACCAATCAAAAGTAAATTGCATATATGCAATTCGTTTTGATGATGTTATTGCTTGAGACTGTTGTTTTAAATTGGGTACAATATCTCGACAAGTAAACGTTGTTATTAATGGTACGACTGAAAATATTCTATTCCAATATTCAATTGATTGTTTTCTACTATCAATTAAATCTAATATTGTTTCACTTGTATATAATTGTTTTAATTGATTTAAAAAATTTAATGTATTTATTTCTTGATTAATTAAATAAAATTCTTCACCAAAATCATTTAAATATTGTGCACAATATGTTCTTAAATGAGAATAAACAGTTGTAGACATAATTCGTTGTATAATATCTAATGGTGCTAAACCAAGACTAAATAATATTTTTAATGATGTTTTATTATCTCTGTCAGCTAAATTTTGTACACATGTATGTAAAGCAACACGAAATAAATCACCAAGAAATAAACTTGTTTCATGTGATAAAAGTAATTGTGGTGAATTATTAAATAAACAATGTAATATAAGATCATCATTTTTTAAACCTGGTTGTGAACGTTTCCATTGATTAAGTTCACTTAATGTTAATGTTTGTTGTTGTTGAAGATTTTTTAAAATTTGATTTAATTGTTTTATTGCTGAAGATTGTGATGATATATAATTATTGATAAAATGTTCATGTAAATAAAATGATAATTGACGTGCTGAAAGAAAAAAATCTATATGTTGATTATGACGTGCTAAATAAATTAAATGATCATTTAAACGATGAAATAACCAACGATATAATGTTGATAATTGTGTCTGTTCAATAGAATCAATTAATGATGTTAAACCTGATTTTGTTAATGGACGTTTTGAAGCTAAAGCAGCTTCAAATTGAGACTTGACAAAATCCATTTTAATCTATAGAAACAAACTACTACAAGAGATATGAAAATTAATGATAATAATAAATAAATAAAAAAAAGAGAAGAGACCTAACTGATTCATTTATTTGCTTCTTTTTCGAGTAGACCAATTGTAATTGAGATATAGATAGAAGTCGCACAATTTCATTCGTAAAAAAATTAATTTATATAAGAAAAATTATATACATTGTAGATTATAACTTGTAAGGTGAATATTAATCAAAATGTGTTCAAATTTATTTGAAAAGCTGAATTTACTCTTTTTTGTGATATAAAGATATCTTTCAACTGATATTTAAATTAAGATGATGACAAGAATTTGATATTAAGATAATTATTCTTCTTTTTAATAAAATTTTCCTTTACTGTCGTTTAGACTATATGATTATACCGATTTTTTTATGGTTCATTAATTTGTAAAATGAGTAATTCAGTTTTTTATTTCTATACACTTGGATGCTCTGTAAACGATATCTTTTTTGATAAAACAAGTGAGATCTACTTAAGTCTTTCTTTACCAACTCTTATTTCTTTCTATGAAATAATTAAATATAATAGGATAGATTTTTCATCGGCTAAAGATCCTAATCTTCTCTTATATTGCTTGAACTCGAGCTTGAATATAAAGAGTCATGATAAAAGGAGTTACACGGTACATCTGGGGTTCAATTGTAATTCAAAATGGAAATAAGAAGTTTATTTTTGGCTATTTTACAATAAACTTCTTATTTCAATTATAAGAAAAATTGAGCCAAAATTAAATCTTTAGCTTACAGTAATTGTTTGCTTATGGCTTGTTTTTTTTACTTTAATTGATATTGCAATTCGAATTAGGCATCTGCTTTAATCTTCTACTTGTTTTACAAAACAAAGTAGTAAAACAAGATTTTTAAAGTATTGACATCATTATCTGAGACTTGTTTCTTATAAAATGATTTTCTTACTTATAAATTTGTCTGCTTAAATAATATATAGTACATGTGTTTTTTTTTTTTGTTTTTTTTGTTAATCATGCGTTCACTTTAATATGAAGCGAAATAGAAACAAGAATAAATTGAAGAATGACAATAAAAAAAAAGAAAACAAAAGATGCACGTAGAAATACTTGTTGACATATATATAGGTTCAAATAAATGAATAATTAACTTAACAAAAAAAAAAAGAAGAAGAAAAAAGTTTTATTCAATAATTATTTCTTGATTGAATTGAGAGAGAAAAAAAAATAAATAAATAAAGATATCTGACTTAATTCCGTTAGTTGTGACAATCGACAAGTATTTACTGTTCATAAACACGAAAGAAAATATTTCGTTTTTAAACTTGTGCAATATCAACAACACTCGTTGGTCGAGATTCATCAATAAACGGAATATCGTCAAGATTATCATAATAAAATGGTTTTGTTATTGGTTTAATTGGATTTGAAATTATTTGTTGAATAGATGATCCTTGTTTGCCATTTGTTGTTGTCTATATAAACAGAGAACGAGTGATTTTTTTTTAATTTAATCAATTATTTTAATCTTTTCTTACGGGATTATTTGTTGGTATTTTAGATATTTTATTGGCTGATGATGAATTTGACTGTTCCGATAAAAGTTGATCTTTATTTTCATGACCTTTTGATTTACGTCGTCTAAAATTTAAAAATAATAAAACAAATGTTGCTATGACAATAAACTTTTTGTTTATATTTGATTATTTTTTTTTTTTCTATTTTAATGATACAACAACAATTATATCAAGAACCAATTTATTCTATTCAACAACAGCAACAATCATCATTTATTCAAATAAAACAATTCAATGAATTTATATGTAAATCAAATCATTTTAATGAATGTTATAAAAATTATTTAGAAAAAAATTTAACTGTTGGTTTTGGACAATTAAATAATGTTGATCATGAAAAACTTGAACTTTCTAAACCATCACTTGTTATTCTATCACCAACATTAGAAATTGATGAATCACAAATAAGAAAATTAACAGAAAAATTAATATCTATATTAGAAAATATGAAACAATATCGAAAACGATATGCTATTATTCATGCTGATGATAATTCATATATTATTGGTGGTTATATATTTGATCCAATTAATAAATTACGTAAATCACCTGAAAATGATTATAAATATAATTCTAAAAGTGATATTCTTAAATCAATTGTTTCATTACCAAATGTGGTTGTGAGTTTTGGACTTGCTATAGGTGAATAAGTTGAATTTTAAAAAATTTATTAAAACAAAAATTTTCTAGATGGAAAATATATTGTTGCAATTGGTGGTCATACTCCCTCGTAAATATAATAAAAAAATCAAATCTTTATTTCTTTATTTTCTCAGAAATAAACCATTATCACAATGTTATATAATGGAAATAAAAAAATTACCAGAAACATGGACTTCTTTACCTGATCTTCCATTACCTACAGTAATGTTTTTTTTTTTTTACTTAGTTTTTGAAAATTTGGTAAAAATATTTATTTTTGTTTTAAATTTAGTCTGGTCCAGGAGTTGGAATAATCGATGGTGAAATACATGTTATAGGTGGATTTGATATAATATCTTATGAAAGTATAACACATGGTGATTATTATCGTTTACAATGGCCAATAGATACTCAATGGAAAATAGAAACATCTATTGAACCTATAAGAGCTCGTTCATTAGTTATTTCAGTTCCAAATGAAAATGTACCATTTAAAAGATTTATTTATGTAGCAGGTGGTTATGATGTTAACACCCAACGTCGTCTTATTGTAATACCAACTGTTCACATGTGTTTGTATTTGATGATTTTTATCACATTTAAAATGTTATCTAGTTTTTTTTTTGTGTAGATGAAGAAGAGAAAAAGAATTGGAAATTAATAACAACTATACCTAATTTACAATTAATGCATGGTCTATCATTTTATGATGATAAATTACATATATCTCATTCAATATTAAATATAGATAATGAATATAATACTCAAATAATTTGTTCATATGATTTTAAAACAAATCAATGGATTGAATTATCAAATAATTTATAATGAAAAATAAACAAGAACAATATTTATACATACCGTTTAGGATACAAACGTATACATGCACATATACATATAGTAAGACAGATAAGAACAGTTATTATAGCAATAGCAATAAATAATATTCGCATCGTTTCATAACTAATACCAAAACTAGTATTAATTAAATTTAATGTACCATTTATTGTATTATTCGAATTTAAATTAGATTGTTCTTTGAGTAGTACATTATCATCATCAGATGGTGATGATGATGATGATGATGATGGTAATAAAGCATCTGTAGCAATATTTAATGGTAAATCATCCATATTCAAATAAATATTCAAATTATTCAATAAAAGAAAAAAAAGCTATCGATAATACATGATGAATTTATAAGAGAAGTAGTTGAATATCTGTAATGAAAGAAAGAAAGAAAAAAACGTAAATACAAAAGTCAATATATGCATAAAAAAAGAAAGAATAACGATTGAATTACTAAAATATAAGAGAAGACCTTCAAATAACAAATGGATTCATACTAATACAGAATAAGCTGTACTGTCTAATATACCAATAAAAACTTCTAGGTTTTGTTTTTTAGTTCTGTTCTTTTTTAATTTTTTATGATAATCATATTGTGTTAGTGTCACATAAATAGTGGAAAAAAAAATATGCGCACCTAGTATGGTAATAATTTTGTTCTTTCTCTTCAACAGATTTTTTCTTTGCCGTAAGGAAACGACAACGTTAATGAGCGTAATCTTATCCTTGTTTTTTATTCGTAGAAGTGACAAGAAAAAAAAAAATACTTCGAATGTCAATGGAAAGTATATTCAATATACAATTCATTTTTACAAGATGAACATTAAGAATAGAAAGAAAAAAACAAGGAATTTTTATGAGATAATCAAGAAAAAAAAAAGAAGTCTTCTCTTCTTTTCGTCTATTATCTGACCGAAGCCTTATATGTTGATACAATTGACTATTACAGTCAGCTTCAAAATATAATACTTAATATAATTCTAGAAGCTTTGTTTTCCATGCATTTTAATAATAAAATCCAAATGTTTATTGTTCAACATATTACAAAATAGTTGATGAGACGATTTGGTTAGATTGATTTATGTTTATTGATGAAAAAAAAAAAGCCGTCATTTGTCTATTGTCGAAAGACAAGCTCCATTATTCTATACTTACTTGTAGAGTTAAAGCATAGAAAACTCAACTGGCATTCGTATATGTAATCGATTGTATGTGTGTGCTGTTGATGAATTTCTCATCATTCGCATAGGCGAACGCAAGATGTGTTCGATGTAAGCAAAAAAAAAATGTGCCACTATTAAGAAAAAACAGACTACGGACGTTTCTTTTCTTTTCGCTCTTGTCTCGACATTTTTTTTTCTCCCTCGCTTTTTTCTGTACTAGTCACTACGAATAAAATGACGGTAACATATTGTTGAGAATCAAAAGACATTAAGAAAGTTTCGATGGAATATTAGTCAATGACATTGATTTACTGGGTGTGACGAGTGTGTTCGATGGCATCATTTATTTTTTTTATTCAAGGTTGTACTAAAACATATTTTCTTTAAAATAAAAAAAAAAAGTAGAAACACTCACTGATTAATACTGTTATAAAAGAAAAATATGGTGTAAGTTGTTATTTATATTTGTGTGTGTGTATGCAACCTGACTTCTAGATTTCATTTAAATGCATACATCTTCGATTTAACCACTATGATAGTCATGAATGAACATTGACTTTGCTCTAATAATATATAATTAGATATAAACAAATGGTTTACTAACTATTGTCAGTTTTGAAGCAAAAACAATAGATATTTATATATGTGTGTATAGACGCTTGATTTCATTTATTCGATATGAATATATATTTATATCTATGCATTCTACGTGCTTGTCGTTCTTCCGTTGTTCATATACACGAGTAAAGGATAATTGTAGTGAAACGAATGAAAGACATCAACAACATAACAAAGCGAAGAAATCGGAAGAAATTGTCATCCGTTGTGCTCTTTACGCTCTAGTTCCGGTTTCTAGTATCGTCATCATAACCAAATACACATATACACAACAAGCTATTTTTTTTATTTAACTTCTGCTGTTACTTAGTCTTTGATGGTATATGTATATATATATATGTTTGCGCATCACGTTCATTCGTCATTAATTGATGCGCAAACAGAGACAATAAGGATAACAAATGCTCATACAATTGAATAAATCGTTTCTTTTTCTCTTTTGGTTCTTGATGTTCATCATCATCGTTATTCAAATGCTATGTATCTCATTCTTGCTTCGACTAATGGAACTCTAATGTTTATCTTTTATCTGGAGTCAGCTTCTTCTATTAATACTCATTGTTGATCTATTTCTCGTTCATTATACATTTGGTGTTATACACACTTACCCTTCGTATTGTAATTGCGTGATGTTTTCTTTTTACATATATATATATATAGACAAAACAAAAAAGAGTGAAAAAAGCATCAATATTTCATATATTTGCACAGACACAAACATATTTTTCTTTCTCTGTCTCTTGTGCTCGATCTCTGAAATGATTAGACTCGCTTGAAGAAACAAGACACCAAGAGCTTGACACATCTGACAGGAGCCACGCATGCACACACACGACATAGGCTATTGCTGTAGCGAATTCCAATTAGCCATTATAACCATCATGGGAAACGCGTCCTCACATTTACAATAATATAGTGAGCCAAAGAGAAACAAAAAAAAAGGAAAGACAGACAGAGACACAACAGAGAGCGACATGAAAAGAAATTAAAATAAAAGGAAGAAGGAGAAGAAGAAGAAGAAACAAAAGAAAGAATGCTCATTCATTTGTGTCGAAAAATTTTAAAAAATTCTTAGACATTACGAGCTTGTTGCTTAGTTGCAGTCGATCAAGAGAAGAAGAACAAGAAGAAGAATAGTGACCTAGGAAAGAATACGATGAAGAGAAAATCTGAAACACAAGCAATGCACGCCACTCTCACTAATGATGAAAGAGTGACAAGCTCACACTCGCGTATAGTCACGCGCATGTTCACTTGTCCGCAAATAATGGACGCTCATGCACGCAGGACAATTCTCGAGAGAAAACGAGAGAATTTCTTCTGACTCGTTACACGCACAGGAACACACTTATATACATACGTATATGAGTACTAATAATCTTCGAAACATTTTCAAATCGAACAAAACATTTTATGTCAAATCGATTAATACTTCACTTTTTCCATTTATAAAAAAAAAAAACATAAGAAGCTATTCTCTTTATGTCTTACTATACAATACTTCAGCATTAAATAATCATGCATTACTTTGGAGAAAAAGAATTGTCATGAATATAATTATTTTCTGTTGAATTAAGACATGTAATATATTAAGTAATTGAAGAAAATGACTGTAGGCTTAGCAAATCTTGTTTACAAGTAAAGAAACTAATTAACTATAGGATATTCTAGACATTTTGAATTGTTTAAAATTACATAGACAAGCAACAAATAATGAATATAAATCGTTTACAGCTGTTCTGAGTTCAACAGATCCATACATCTAGTAGAAAAAAAAAGACAGCTGTCTTTTGTTTGATACTATTATAAATATTTGACTTGTTCACAGATTTGATAAAAATCACCTACTAATTTTCTGTTCATATCGTATTGAATAGTTGAAATTTGAGAATCCAGTCTTTTGTATTTGTTTTTCTCATTATCAAAGGTCTGTTTATTTTAACATCTAAAAATTTTTTTCTTATTAGTGTTGTATTCTTCCAGATGTAAATAGAAAGAGATTAATTGCTCTTGTCTTGTATCAAGTGACTAGATATAATGCCTCTTGAACGAAGAGACATAAAATAAAATTATTCTCACTACATGTCTAAAAGCTTAATTAAATATATTGTATATCATATTTTTATTAAATGCAATGACACACACTACATAACAAGAAAAAACAATTCAACAAAATTGACACACCGGCGGGATTTTTTTTGTGTTCTTTTTCTTTTAATGTTTTATAGTTCTGTATAACTGTAATCTCGATTAATTCCTAATGCCCGAAAAAATAACGGACATGTAAAAGATATATTAAATCCAATAGCAAAATAAGTTAAATAATAATAGGGCATTTCAACTTTTGCTAAACGTTTTGATTCAGGATTTTTCCAATCAAGTCCATAAATTGAACATGTTACACGCAAAACAATTGTTTTAACAATTTGTCGTGTAGCATAAATAAATATCATACCAATTATTGTACGTACAATACATAAACCTAAATTTGGAGCTATGATAGCATAAAGTGGTGGTGTTAATGGCTTTTCTAAAAGACCAATTTGATGCATTGCTGTTGTTGCTGAACACAAACCAAATGCACTGCCTAATATAACTGTTGTATCTGAACGAGCTGTTGACCATTGTTTTAAACTAGGATAACATTTAATTAAAAGTATTCCAATACAAAAATTAAGTATTGGAGCAAATGAATAATTTAATTGAAAATTATCAATACTATCCACATATGGAAACATTATATAAATTAATAATAAAGCATACAATGTACCAGCAATGATATCCTATTATAAAAATAAATTAATATTGAAACAATTTTTCGAACAATTTCAACTACAATTATTGTTCATATTTATCTTTCAAAGGCAACTTATAGTTGAATAAGATTTTTTATCAGTTTAAAATAGTCAATTTTTTTTATCAAACAATCATTCTATATATATATATATTATGATACTTTACAAATACTTCAAATAGAGAACTTATATAAATAGAAAAAGTCAAGTGCAGCGTACACATTTGAATAATCAAAGGATTTTACAGGCATAAATGTCTTTTGAAGTAATACCATAATTTTATAATAGGCATAATATAATACTCATGACAACTCTTTATCATTAACTATACCGAGTATTTTTCTTAAATACAACAGTTAAAAGTAGATCAGAACTTATATAGAATATCGCATGATTCAACGTGTCATGAAAAGAACATTATTAACGAGTCTGTCAGAATAAATGAACTTTATCAGTATTCTATTAACATCTCCATTAATTCGACTTGAATATTTTTACAAAAAAAAAAAAAAACATTCTCGTTCAATTTTCTTCCAGTGTATATAGAACATTTCAATATAAAAACCTAACAGTCAAATATTCTGAGTTGAAGACTCTCAGATATGCATATAACGTATTTTGTTGTTTATCATATTTTGAGTTGTTGGCTGTTGCAAGATACAAAAACAAACCTAATCATCCATTGACAAGCTCTTGAAAAGCTTCTTCTGAATAATAAATCAAATTTCATGTATAGGCTTTGATTGGCATGCAATTAGGCTTTTTGTTCTATAAACATTGAGGATATATCGACAAAAATAATATCCGCGTCATCTTGTAAAAAGACTCTATTGTCTATGTTCTATAATAACTTTTTGCGTTCGAATATTTATTGTTGTTTTGAAAAAAAAATGATATGTTTGCAAAGTGTACGTAACGATTTCGTATGAAATATAAGTTTGATAAGAAAAAGTGTGAGATAAGAAAATGAATTTTAGCAATTTCATGTCGTTCTATAAGAAATTTCGGTATGCTTGAAAAAATTGGAAAACTGAGACAAGTATGACTCGGTACATATCATCTAATCATAGAGAAAAGAGAATCAGCTATTTAAAGAAAACATCGTTATAGCATCCATTATTTCGGTACTGTAGATTCGTCAGTGTAGAATGTGTGATTGTAAATTTTTATATCTATTTGTAGAGAATTGAACGAGGAAACTTTTGGTAAGAAACTCAAATCGAAATAACGAACATTAACGAGAATATTGATTATATACTGAGAGGTCTATTTATCCTCAGATGATCGTTTGTTTTGTAGGATTTTTGTTTTTGTTTTATTTATTATTTAATTCTGTATAGGATATTGTCAAAGACCTTTTTACCTTTAACTGAAAATAGACGTTATATTTAGCACCAATTATCATATGCTTTGGTAAAGAGTTTATTGTCAAAAAACTGGGGATGTCAAAATGCCAAATGTTCTTTCCGTCTTCCGTTCATATGGATTACATTATTTATTTATGCATTTGTGAAGTATAACAATTTAACTTAAATAATCATTAAACAAAATTTGATTACTTCAAATGATAATCGGTTCATTACAACTGCCAAACAACTTTTATCTACGATTTTCATCGTGATATATTATAGCTTCTAACTGTACTAGGGTACACTAAATAAATGATGTTTTTTCTACATTAAAAAGACACTGTGTAAATGTTAGTGAAGAGTCTGATTGAAAATAATCTGTGAATTAAATATTCAAATTCGTATTTCAACTTACAAGGAATGTATGCATACCAAGATAAATCCGACTAAGACACACCCAAACACATGCAATTGCTGCAGCACTTAATCCAAGCCACATGTTAAACTAAATTAGAAAAAAAAAGTATATTATTATAAACATTCGACTTTGAAATTTACATCATATCGTTGAATTGAAAGAAGAACAAGTGATAATGGAATACCAGCTGCAAACATCGCATGTGTAGAAGGAAAACCATATTCTTCAACATAGCTTAAAAAGCAAAAGAAAAAAAACTTTTCTGTGCAAAAAAGAAAACAAAAATAATTTTACCGTTTTTCTAATTTTAATACCGGTGGTGATGGTGGTCTTGGTATTGCTAAAATATCTTTTGTTGCTTGTCCAATATACATAAAAAAAGCCCAAAGAATTGAAACTTTTCTTGCTACAGCACCATCAACATTCCATATCCTTAAAATAAAAAATCATTTCGTTTTTCCTTTTTTTTTTGTTGATAACATCATATAAGAAAATTTTACCATGTTGGAAAAAATAAAATATAAAAAATTTCATTACCAAGTGCTGCACCAAATTGAAAAAAATAATACCAAAACCATGATATAATTTTATAATCAAGTTGTAAAGAAGTTTTTTCTTTATTTTCATTTTTATTTGTACTATGTTTAATTTCTTCAATACATTCATCCAAAACATTTGAATCATAATTTATTTTTCCTTGAAGATCTCGATTGTAAACTTCATCAAGTAAAAATGTTTTATCATCATCACCATTTATTAAATTATTATTATTATTATTATTTTTATTGAAATTATTTTCATCATAGGTTGTCGATATAGGATTAGATTTTGGTAATACACCAAAATATTGTTGAAATTTAGCAACATGTTTTGGTTCATGTAGCCAAATAACATACGAACGAAGATAATTCCACATTGATTAGTAATACAACACACAGTAAAATAAAAAGAAAAGAACGAAAAAAGAAAACATTTAATAATATTATTTCTTATCAAATTTCGGGCGTAATTCTGTCTTTCATGTAAAGATAAAAAAAAAAAAAAAAAAAAAAAAAAACGAAACAAGTCACGTATGAGAATAAGAATAGACGAAGATCAATACGATGAATAATGTCTTTATCTTATTTTATCGATTTTGTCAATCGATGGTTGACTTATTTCAATGAATACAATGTATTGAAAATACGAGAACTTTTTTTATTTGATCCGCAAAAGACAGACATATGTATATCGTATTAATTAATCAAGCATGTTGCAAATATATAATCGATTTGTTCAAAACTTTCAGATGATCGATTATTTCTCAAGAGGATATTATATTATTTTCAAATGAAATATTCTATTAGAGTTTACTACTGAATAGAAATCATTAAAAAAAGAAAAGAATACAAACTTGTTTTCTTTTATTTTAATTATTGTGTAAATCCACAGGGATCTAGTTGTATTTGAAAAAAAAAAAAAAGTTGATTTAACAATTTTTTTTTCGTATAACGTGATCATAAAAACAGTTTTAGTAGAAAAAAAAGTGACCGAATTTCATCTAAAATAACCCGAATTTGAAGCATTGTTTAGCAACATCGAAAAGAAGGTGCTACAAGTGAATTACAAGCTGTTGAATTCATATGCAGAGAATCACTAGATTAATACAAATATCCATAGGATTCTTCTTTTTATTCAGGTTTATCGGAGATATGAATGTTTCAAAATACAGTGATTTTCTATGCTTTAAGAAGTTTAGAAGAAAACTTCTGTTTTAAAAACTTTCATACCTCAGTTCAACTAGAATAAAACGAAAATTTCTATGGATATTTTGTAGTATTCTACTGGTTCTCAACATATACACAATATATGAACTTAAATACTCGAAACAACTTGTGGTAGTTTCTTTTAGAAGTTTCTAGACAATGCTTCAAACTTACGTTATTTCAAGGGAAATTTTCTCAAGGTTGTCTACCACACCTGTCTTGTGAGCATGTCATACAAAAAAGAAAACCGTTAAATAACCGTTTTTCAAATTATGATTCAGTATTCATAAAAGTACCCAATTATATAATATGTGCTTTAAGGGAATTTTAAAAGCGAAAGGATGTGAATGATGAAGTACTCCTATAGCAGGTGTTCCACATCGCTCTCACCCTCACTGTGAATGCATCGCCGTCCAACGAGGTGGAACACCAGCTATAGCATTTCCAATGATGATGTAGTATTTTTGAAACGAACGCTTGGGAAAACTATATCTGATATATTTAAATAAAAATGCTTTTACTTTTTTAATTCCGGAAAGGAAAACCTCAACTGATGAATGATAAATGTCTTTCAAAACAATCTATTGGATGGAATAAAAATCAATGTGACTTCTAGCGACACTTTTTTTTCATCTTGTTTTTTGAAAAATACAATAAGAAATTGATAAAATATTCTAAATATTTGTTAATTCATCTTTTAGATTATTTTTGCAGAATAAATTTAATTTGATTCGTTGATACTGTTGTCATGGTAAGAGTCGATTCCCATGGTACTATGTGAGCGCATCTTTTTTAATACACTGATAAATCAAATATGGTAGGAATTGAATTGAAAGGAGCATTTCGTGGTGAAACACGTAGAAGTTTAAGATCAGGTAGATAATATATACATATTTTTATTGTGTATTTTTGAACAAATATAAATGATAACATAATAATAAAATTAAGGTTTTGGTGTTTATCAATATTCAAATCCATTCTTTCGATATGAAGGAACATGGCATGAAGGCAAAAAACATGGTACATTTATAATAATAATCTTGAAATGTTATCTTTTCTTTTCTTTTTTTCGATGAAGGTTTTGGCAAACTTATATTTGCTGATGGTTCATATTATCAAGGAGAATTTGCTAATAATGAAATCATGGGACAAGGTACACGTTACTTTGCATCATCACGTAATACATATACAGGTCATTTTTATTACGGTAATATAATAGGCTTTTTTGTTTCATATTTCGAATAAAAGTCTGTCTATGTATAGGTGAAATGGATGGACATGGACGATTGAAGTAAGTTAAAATATTTGAGGTAACCTTTGAAATTAAAAGAAAAATATTGTTTCGAATAAATGTAAAATTATGATAAAAAAAAATTTAAATATTTCTACTGTACTTTGTAAAGAATGAAAATAAGAAATTACTCGTAAAATTCGAATGTTTTTTTTTTTTTAATCCAGAATGGGCAATGATGATTGTTATGAAGGAGATTTTAAATCAAATCATTTTGAAGGTGACGGTAGTTATCTATCATATGATAAACAATTATACACTGGTACTTGGCATAATCATTGCCGTCATGGATATGGAGAACAAACATATTTTGATGGAAGTCGGTATTCAGGTGATTGGATTGCTAATAAACGACATGGTTTTGGTAAATTAACTGATTCTCAAGATGGATTTATTATCTATGAAGTATTTTAGTTTTTTTTTTTTTCTTTGTTTTATTTCAACGATAAAACACAATTAATTTTCTAGGGTAGTTGGAAAAATGATTTAATGCATGGCGAAGGAACATATAATCTTGGCGAATCTTATACATATCGAAATGGTATGATGGTTAATAATTATCCAACTGAATGGCCATTTCGATTATGTATTAATGAGAATCAAACATCAACACTTATGCTTACTGAAGAACCAATTATAATAACGGTTGATATTGTTGATTCTTCAGATAATAATACTCGAGTTGAAGCTGATTGTGGACGTTTAATTCGACTTCGTTGTGGTCAACAAACTGATCAACCAACAAGTGATAGTCTACCAACACCATTGTACGTTATAATAGAAAATAAGAAATGAATAATTTAATACTATTTTCTTCTTTTTTTTTTTTTATTTTTTGCTTCAGTGGTTTTCATGTTAATTTGATTCCAAGAAGTACAAAATCTACTCCATCTGATAACCAATTAGTATCAGCATCAAATGAAGAAATGAGTGAGTTAATTAGTGCTATATTTCAAAATTGTCCACAACCTTTTTTTTTTTTTTGCATAGATATCAGTGAAAGAAACCAACCTATTCAAGATTCAATGTTAACTGTTACTGATAATGGTCGAGCTCAATTTGTAGGTATTAATATTGACACATTTACAATGCGACTTGCAAGTGCTTCAGCTGCTGCTAGGTAAGTAGAACAGCAATATATATATATATGAAGGACCTTTTTAGATATTTATTCACTTAAGTTCTCGAAACATTTTCTATTCATTTTAGTTTACAATCAACATCTGCTAGAGGTAACCGTCGAAAAGG